TTGACAACACATTGACTTACCCATGTTTGCAATATATTTTTGTTTAGACATACCGAGTTCCGAGTTCCGGACACCCGATACCCGAGACCCGAGACTGCCGGGTTTCGGGTGTCGGGTGTCCGGAACTCGGAACTTGGGAAAGTTTGGGGAGATCAATACAATTTGATTCACAATCAAGTTGATTGACAAACACATTGACTTAACTATGTTTGCAATATATTTTTGTTTAGACATACCGAGTTCTGAGTTCCGGACCCCCGGACCCCGAAACCTGAGACTGCCGGGTCTCAGGTATCGGGTGTCCGGAACTCGGTATGTCTAAACAAAAATATATTGCAAACATAGTTAAGTCAATGTGTTTGTCAATCAACTTGATTGTGAATCAAATTGTATTGATCTCCCCAAACTTTCCCAAGTTCCAAGTTCCGGACACCCGACACCCGAAACCCGGCAGTCTCGGGTCTCGGGTATCGGGTGTCCGGAACTCGGAACTCAGTATGTCTAAACAAAAATATATTGCAAACATGATTAAGTCAATGTGTTGTCAATTAACTTGATTGTAAATTAAATTGTATTGATCTCCCCAAATTTCCCCCGAGTTCCGAGTTCCGGACACCCGATACCCGAGACTGCCGGGTGTCGGGTGTCGGGTGTCCGGAACTTGGAACTTGGGGAAATTTGGGGAGATCAATACAATTTGAGTCTCGGGTATCAGGTGTCCGGAACTCGGAACTCGGGGGAAATTTGGGGAGATCAATACAATTTGATTCATAATTGAGTTGATTGACAAACACATTGACTTACCCATGTTTGAAATATATTTTTGTTTACACATACTGAGTTCTGAGTTCTGGACCCCCCAACCCCAAAACCCGAGACCCAGCAGTCCACAATTCTGGGGTTCAGGGGTTGGCAAAATGTGTATGAATATATGAAAGGTTGAATGAAACATTTTTGAAAGATGTCTCATATCAAATGTTAAGTCCCGAGTTTCAAATTTCGGGTTTCAAGACTCCAGGTTTCGGGACTCGGCACTCCCGAAATCCGGAAGTTGAAACTCGGGATTTGACATTTGATATGAGACATCTTTCAAAAATGTTTCATTCAACCTTTCATATATTCATACACATTTTACCAACCCCTGAACCCCAGAATTGTGGACTGCCGGGTCTCGGGTTTCAGGGTTCGGAGGTCCGGAACCCGGAACTCGGAACTCAGTATGTGTAAACAAAAATATATTTCAAACATGGGTAAGTCAATGTGTTTGCCAATCAACTCAATTGTAAATCAAATTTTATTGATCTCCCCAAATCTCCCCAAGTTCCGAGTGCCGGGACCCCCGAACCCCGAACCCCGAGACTGCCGGGTCTCGGTGTTCAGGGGTCCGGAACTCGGAACTCGGTATGTAGAACAAAAATATATTTTAAACATGGGTAAATCAAAGTTCAGGGGTCCGGAACTCGGAACTCGGTATGTAGAACAAAAATATATTTTAAACATGGGTAAATCAAATTTTATTGATCTCCCCAAATTTCCCGAGTTCCGAGTTCCGGGACCCCCGAACCCTGAGACCTGGCAGTCCACAATTTCGGGGTTCAGGGGTTGGTAAAATGTGCATGGATATATGAAAGGTTGATTGAAACATTTCTGAAAGATGTCTCATATCAAATGTCAAGTCCCGAGTTTTGATTTCCGGGTTTCAGGACTCCGGGTTTCAGGACTCCGGGCTTCGGGACTCAGCACTCTTGAAACCCGGAAATCGAAACTTGGGACTTGACATTTGATATGAGACATCTTTTAAAATGTTTAAACCAACCCTTCATATATCCATACACATTTTACCAACCCCCGAACTCCGAAATTGTGGACTGCTGGGTTTCGGGGGTCCGGGGTCCCGGAACTCGGAACTCAGAATTTGGTATGTAAGACAACAAAAATATCTTTCAGGGTTCAGGGGTTAGTGAAATGTTTATAGATATACGTAGATTAATTCAAACATGTCTGAAAAATTTCGTTCATCTCAAATGTCAAATCCTGAGTTCCGGACTTCGGGACTCAGCACCCGGCAGTCAGGGTTGGGGGTTCAGCACTGAAAATTTGACATTCGGGTGTTCAGGTTTTGGGTGATATCTAAATCAACAACTTCGAGTTCTGCCAAAGCGTGAAACTTGAAACCCAGTGTGCAACATGTTGATTTTTCATTTATATCACACAAATCATCGAGTTCCGAGTGCTGAGGGCTGAGACCCAAAGCCTGAGACCTGAAAATATGTACACAACATGTCCATTTTTCACTCACTGCACAAATCACCGAGTTTTGAGTGCCAAAGCGTGAAACTTGAAACCCAGTGTGCAACATGTCCATTTTTCATGTACATTACACAATTCATTGAGTTCTGAGTGCCGAGGGCTGAAACCCGAACCCCGAGACCTGAAAATATGTATGCAACATTTCCATTTTTCGATTGTTGCACAAATCACCGAGTTTCAAGTGCTGAAACCCGAAACTCGAAACCCAGTGTGCAACATGTTCATTGTTCATTTACATTACACAGATCATTGAGTGCCAAGGGCAGAATCCTAAAACCCGAAGCCCAAAAACATGTATGCCACATGCCCATCTACTCATTGCACAAATCACCAAGTGTCGAGTGCCGAAACCCGAAACCCGGTACTTCAAATCAGTAGTCAGGTACTTGGTACTTGGTTCTGATACTTGGTACCCGAGAATCAGTAGTCAGGTACTTGGTACTTGGTTCTAATTCTCGGTACCTGGGAATCAATAGTTGGGTACTCCAGCCAATAGTCCCGAGTCCCGAGTACTGATATTTGGTATTCAGTAGTCAGGTTTGGAACTTGGGTCTTGGTTTGGTTATCATTTGACTGAGATATTGCTAGGCAATATTGGCACTCGGAGCTCAAATACTGACTATCAACTATCAAGTGTCGGGACTTGGTAATCGGTAGTTGAGACTTGGTGCTTAAATGGATATTGCATATATACATAAAAATACAAAATATGTTCCTATGTGTTCATTTCTAGGTGAACAGACTTTGGAATTATATCTCAATCATCTATTCAACAATAGAAACAATGTATCAGGAGCTCAGGACCATAGGGTAATCCTTTATTGTATAGTGTACCTCCCCCTCTTCTGGTGGTTCACCCGCTGGGGGTTTTCCCTGTAAAGCTGGACCTCAAGGACTGTAGGGAGTCTATTCCTGAGCATATTCGGAGTAGATATATCATATAACCAGCCCAGGACACACAGGATCCTTCTCCAGGAACAAAGCATAGACAATTGCACTTGTGACATTTTTTCACAATTTTCAGTATCTTGCCCTTGCATCCATGATCCAACCTTTTAATATATAATGAGCATAGCTTATATTCTTGCTTCTTATGACCAAGATCAGCTCACAATAGGCTGGAGTTTGTGAGCTAGTGTGCATACTTGCCATTTTGCCTGATAAGGGGCCCATGCCTTCAAAACATTGAATCTTCATAATCAGAAACCTGGGGTACATTTCAAATATCTTAAGTATCATAGACATAAATTTACAGACAAATCAACCAAGAATTGAGTACTGAGGAAGTGAAATGGGTAAGAAATTGAGTGTGGGAAACTTCAAAGACCCAAAGCATCGAAAATGGTTAGTTGAGCAGTGGTAGGACTTTAATGCTGGGTCAACTCATATTTTCACTATATCCCTTCTACCCACCCCCTACCCTCAGGGCAGTAGGCAGTATGGGTTCCTTGGGTAGTTTACAATCTATCCTACATATTTGTAATGATATTTTTGGCCTGAATCATATATAAATGTGACTTTATATAAAAGATGTCTACTGTCACTCTCCACACATCATTTTGCCTATCATTACATCAATCCTTCATGAATATTTCTAAGCTTTTAAGCTATTATAATGGATGTATATGGGTGTTATTCCAGGTCTCTGATCACATCACAGGCTTGTCATGTTGGATATCTCGACATAATGTGCAAGTCTCGCTATTAATATTCATTCTTTATCTTTAGACTCACTTACTGCACACATGTATTTCATTTGTCATTATTGATGTTTTGGATTTCTTTAGCTTATATCTTGGTCACATGGTAACCAATGGACGAGAAAAGACTACAAATAAACTCACCTAGACTCGGACTACAACCTTCATTAAGCTGACTACTGATTCCTGGATACCGAGTATCAAAACCAAATACTGAGTACCAATTACCATGTACCAAGTACTGCGTAATGAGTAACAAGATAACCAATTGACAAGAAAAGACTACCACTACACTCACCTGGACTTGGACTACAACCTTTGGTAAGGAGTTAAGCATAATAACAACTTTCATTTTTTCATTATTGCTGATGTTTTGCTGAATGACAAGGAAAGACTACCAAATCACTCACCTTGACATGGACTACAACTGTCATTTTTCATTATCATTTGCCTATATTGACTACCGAGTCTCGAGTACCAACCACTGACCACCAATCACCGAGTGCCGAGTACCGAGTACCGATAGGGAATAGTGTGGGTGAACCCTGGGGTATGAGTAGCACTACCCCCACCCATACCCCATGATATACCCACACCCACCTTGTGGGTGTGGGTTTTTTGGTGGGTATCAGGGAGAAACTACCGAGTCTTGAGTACCAACCACTGACCACCAATCACCGAGTGCCGAGGACCGAGTACCAAGTACCGAGTCCCGAGTCCCGAGTCCCGAGTCCCGAGTCCCGAGTCCCGAGTCCCGAGTCCCGAGTCCCGAGTCCCGAGTCCCGAGTCCCGAGTCCCAAGTCCCGAGTCCCGAGTCCCAAATCCCGAATCCCGAGTCCCAAATCCCGAATCCCGAGTCCCGAGTCCCGAATCCTGAGTCCCGAGTCCCAAATCCCGAGTCCCAAATCCCGAATCCCGAGTCCCGAGTCCCGAATCCTGAGTCCCGAGTCCCAAGTCTCAAGTCTCGAGTCCCGAGTCTCGAGTCCCAAGTCCCGAGTATAGCGACAGAGATAAAAACGACCGTCACTGTCCTTCTCTCTGCACGCCTTTGAAATAAAGTATCAGTACAGACTCATGTCTATAGTCATGGGAAATAGTTGCACATGTGTAACGGTGTATAAGCCATCATACCGATAGCCAACGAGGGGCGCAAATTTAGAAACAAATTTCGAGCTCCGGACGACGCGCACGGGCTTGCCTGTGAAATGAGACTGCTGTTGTACTGTCATTTCCCGCCTTTAAGTTCATCGGGGATAGAACTCACAAGAAGTGCTTGATTTCCCCAACCCGTCCATTCCTGGTCAGAAACCTGCGGGCCTGGATTTTTCTTGGGGAAATCAATGGATGGTCATGCTATAGAAGGAAGAAAAACTCTTACAGGCCAACCGTTATTATGGAGGCCACCCCCTGACGGTACTATGTCGGCATACAATCTTGTAGCACATATTATAAATGCACACCTGAACCTACGTAGAGACTATATACATAGGTCAGACTATCGATCAAATTCGAAAATATGCGCCGCGGTGCTTACATCGTGTCGCCAAAGTCCTTGTCATCATCGTACTCACCCGAAACGACGATTGAGCAAGCGCCTAACATCTTACTACCCTGTATTCCAGCCTGAGGATGGCGGTGTATGCCAGCATCATAACAATCTTTGCTGCAAACACATAGACAGATGGGATAAGTGATATTGACAAACGAAGATTCAGAATACACACCGTGACATCCACGTGGCACCAACAGGTACTCCAGGAATCGCTCCAAAGCGCCGCCTGTAAAGAAAGTGTGTGAGTAGTATGATTAAGGGGAAATTTCTGGGAAGCATCACTGACAACATTCTGGCACGTCTGGCCCTGGCCTTCTTGGACATTTTGGGGGCGATTTTTTTTGGACGTTCCTGTATCTCCTCCTCCCCTTCGCTTGCAATTACTTCTGGATCTTCTTCCGTCATGTTGACCACTTTACCGGCGGTTTTTTCTCGATATTCTATCTCCTCATCCCCTTTGCTGGCGATTACTACTTCTGGATCTTCCACCATTTCCTTGTCCTTTTCGCTGGCGATTTCGTCCTGATGTTCCTCTATCTCCTCGCCTAATCTATAGTGGTCGTTTTTGACGCCGACTTGAATTTGTTTTATAAGGGTCAGGTAGTCCATTATGTCGTCGGTGACTGTCAAGATGATGGAGACAATCACACGAGGCCAACACGAGGCTCATATACATAGAATGCTGCTGCATGATGCGTCGGAGTTTCGAAAGATGTGATCATCGAAAGGTCAAACTTCGGTGGAGCCGCCCCTTCTAAGAAAGATTCGATTCCACCGGCGACTAGATAAGACAAGGTAGCAACTGCTGACGGAACTAGACCTCCGGACTGGACAGTGGAGAATGATACTAGATGGCTTCATGACATGTCGGAAGTGCAGTTGATAGTAGTCATTGGCAGCCGATATCGACTCGCATCCGCTGCCACGGAAAGAGGTAGGCTGTATTATGGTGTCTGCCGAATTGCGAAGGCTTGAAAAAAAGGGGTCTGGTCCCAATTTGGCTGCTGTGTGGCATCGCTTGCTCAAGCCGAGCTCAAGCGTGACGTCTACCGTCATCAGTTTTGCTACCCTTCCTTAAAATCATGAACTCGCCCTGGAAAGGCAAAGCAAAAGCCACTAATCAAGATCATGACGACTTGCGACCAACTTTAACTTACAGACACATTCTATCCAATAACCTCGGTGTTAGAGATCCCCTACGCGTCGTTGCCCTATGCGATAGTGACGCCTTCTATGCTGCCTGCGAACGCGTCCGGCTTGAACTCGACCCGAACGTACCAATTGTTGTACAACAGTGGGAGAGTATCATAGCAGTGAGCTACCCTGCACGCGAATTTGGCATATCCCGCATGGACAAGATTAAGGATGCCAAGAAGAAATGTCCTAATCTACTTGCCGTACATGTCGCAACGTACAAGGAGGGCGAGAAGGAGCCCAGCTATTGGAAGGATGTCGATACGCGCACTCACAAGGTGTTGTACATCCTGCAATGCTCCTAACGTGACAGAAGTTGATCTTGTTGTCGCATATCCAAAAGGTATCCTTGGATCTATATCGACGTGAAAGTAACAAGATCATCACTATGTTTAAGGAGGCTCTTCCGACCGGTGAAGTTGGTGAGATGCGCATGATACTTATTTCATATGGTCAACTGACGTCAAAGCAAGAGAAAGCCTCCATCGACGAAGCATTCATTGACTTTACTCGTCCTGTGAGAGAAAAGTTACTTGAACGATATCCATACCTTGCCCAAGTCCCTGCCGATGCCCCAAATGGGATGGACAGCCCTCTACCACCACCATCTCCAATAAAGTGGGATAATCTGGGAACAGTCTTATTACCAGAAGGAACTGATGGTGCTGGAGAACAATCTAACATTGATGTTGATGGTGGTGCAACATGGCACGACGTAGCGTTGTCAATTGCCGCAGAGCTGATGCGAAAGATCCGCGAGGACATACATTCAAAGCTAGGCTATACAACTTCTGCTGTAAGCGTCATGTCGTAGGGAGCTCGTAATCATCTTACGCACAATCAAATGATGCAGGGGATTGCTCGTAATAAGTTCCTTGCAAAGGTTCGTGCTCCTCTCCCCCCAGTCGATTGCACTCAATCTCTCGCAGCTTTGTGCCTCTTACAAGAAACCCAACAGTCAAGTCAGTCTTCTCAGTTCCATGTTGGCATTAATAACCAAATAAACATGCATAGACTATCCTTCGGAATCAGGCCATTCCAAGTTACCTCCATCCCTTACCCTTTCAAAAAGCAAGTCTCTAATATTGATCTATATTGGCTGCCTTGACCGCAAGACACGCTAGATTCGCTTCCTCGGTGGAAAGCTCGGTGATGCCCTAGCGAAAGAATATGATGTTTCAACCGTAGGCGACTTGTTGTGAGTAATGGACGATTCTTCCCGATTTTTATGTATCGCTTACCCCATTAAAGAACGATCTCACTAGGTAATGGATAATGTCTTCATCCATTTCAGTTTCTTATACATGGTAGATGAAATACAAAGCAAGTTCGGCGAAAATGCGCTATGGATATATGAATTACTTCGGTGAGATATTCAATTCGTTAGCCTCGGGGAACGTTCATTCATCATGCAACGCTAGTGGCATTGACCGCACTGAAGGTATTTCAATGTGACCTGGCTACACCTTTCGCATTTACAACTAGTTCATAGTCAAAGAAAAGTCTGCGCTCTTCAAGAGCATGTTGGCGTCAAAGAACCTTCCGAAGCCGATAACGCAGCCTTTGGATGGACACCAATGGATCAGAGTCCTTGCTGCAGAGCTGGCGTTACGACTCAATGATGCTAGAGAGTCGATGCCGACGCTGTGGCCGAAGACTATTGTGCTCCATGTTCGCAAAGGTGATTTGAACTCATAGCATCGATTGTTATTTGTTGAACTAGGAACACATCAGGACACGAAACGTCGCGATCCAAACAAGTAACATTTCCTTTCGTCCGCAATGTGACAGTGGACGTGATTGCGGCTGCCGCAGACAAGCTATGGAAAGAGCTTACTGGAGACTCAAAAACTGTCAACATCACATCGGTCCAGCTAGCATTTACTGGCCTGGAGAAGGCTGAGATGGGCCAGAAAAGCATCGAAGGGTTCTTCGCGACTCGAGATGTTCAACGAACATTCCTCAAACGTTCACGCGAAGAAGATGAGCCTTTGGTCTCGCTTGAGAACACGGACCTGGCTCTTCCCAAATCTAGTGATATCGAGGCAGTTTCATTCCAGTGCACCCGATGTCGTAAGACGATCGCACTTCGAGAAGGTCAAGCAACAGGTGGTCCCAGCGAAGTAGCACAACGATTGGCAACGTTACGATCGGAACACGGCGACTTTCATTTCGCACAGGACTTGGCAAACAGCAATGAGGGGTCGGTGCCTGTACCTCGCGGTTCATCGTTGAAACGTCAGAAAGTGGAACCAAAAGGGATTGCGAAGTTTTTCATCCAGAAGTAGGCAGCTTAGTGGCGTGTTACGATCGGGGAAAAGCCATGATGATATATGTATGATAATCATGCCTCTGCGAGAAAATGAGCTATATCGGTGGCATGGAGTGCACAGATTTACACAGGTATGTTTTTGAGGCAGTGTAGAATGTGGCAGTTTTGATTGATCGTCACTACTGCATTGGCTAGCTGTTCAGATCCACCATCAAAACCTCAATTGCCGAGTCCCGACACAGTCATATGAAGAGAGAAATGAAGATTCGATCAAAACGCTGTCGTTCGTTCGTTCGTGCGTTCGTCATCTTTCGAAGTTCTTTCTGCGGACTGGGTTCCACCTTTCGACCTCTGAGAGGCACGTTTCTGCGGCTAGTCCGTCGTTCTTCGTTCATTTTCCTCTGTCTGGGACAGCTGGCCGTTTGCTTGGTCTTTTTCATTTCAAGAACCCTCGAGGCATTCGTCATTCATTATCATGCTCTCTAATTCCCATTTCACGCCCTTCTCTACTGCTCAGGCAAATGGATTGATCGTGAGTCATTAGCACGAATTATTGCGAGTAGCGTCAGATGATCCCACTCAGGTTGTTCCCGCGTTTGCCTTACTATCTGCGCTAGCGCTCGCTTTCATAGTTTTCAGAAGTATCCACCTCGTGGTAATCCCCTCATTCCAGCGTAACGGGCCGGCGTGCAGAGCTCCCGAGAACCTATTCTTCCGTACTCAACTAGGCCATTATGCTGCATCCCTTGTTTTAAGCAATGTTTTCCTCACTGCAGCTGGGCTTATGGAGTTTTTCTGGGTCAAACAATCTGGGATCCATCAAGGTAGCACTTTTGGTATTCAAACTACATACGTTGTACTGACGGCTATCAGGCTCCATGTGCACTTTTCAAGGTAATCTCAAGTGATAGTGCTATGATCAGATACTGAGTCATCTTGTAACCAGCTGTCCTGATGCAGATAGGTTACTGGTCCACCTGTTTCTTCTCTGGTGCTATCGGTGTCCACACGTGCAACTCCCTGGTATTTCGTCTCTACCAAATTAGTTATCTGAGCGTTGTGGTCATCGCCTTCGGATGGATCATGTCGCTGCTGATTGGTAAGTGGCGCTACAACAGCAACCGAGTTGATATCATCTCATGTTATCCATATCTGTAGCACTGGCACCCATCACCCAAGCTGGCGTCTATGGTCCAGTCACTGTTTCATGTGGCGTCATGACGGCATATCCCGGCAAGATATTTGGGCTTGAAGCTTTTCCGGTACGGTTTATTCTAGTCTGACCTGATAGGGTCTAAGTAATTATGAACAGGTCATTCTCGTCTCTGTGCTTTCGGTCATTATTTACTCCCCGATATTCCTTTTTCTCGGGGGTATTCTGCATGTCAAAGGGGGTGTCAAATTGACTTGCAAGGCCCAGGGACGATGGTGTGCTGTGACCGACTCGGAGGAATATCACCGCTTCTTGGCAGCTGTCGCAAGGACGATGTTTTGGTGAGTTGCTGTACGCTTATGCTTATCCAGGTCATTCATCCGTTCGTTGCAGGTACCCTATCGGTTCGTGACCTCGCATATGATCGAGTTCTCCTGTCTTGACTTCCTGTCTAGCATTTGTCTCCCTCTTGTTGCCGATCGCGGCTGTAAATATGGCACAATCTTCTGGTCGTGTTATCCCATTTGGAGCAGAAGTATTTGCGCATGTATGCAGTTCTATGCTTGGTTGGTGGTCCGGGTTTCAGCATGCGTCGTAATCACTGATTGGTGTTCTAGGGCTTGTCAATGTCGGTCTTATGTACAACACCTTCCGTGTGCTCAGTCCAGTCTTCCATTGTTCAACGCTGCCAAAGATTCAGGTTGATACAAAGACTTTTGGAAACGACGCGTTCGACGAATCGCCTATTCTTCCCGCAGTCGCTCACATGCCCAAAGGACCGCTTTTACCTCTGTACAATGATACCTCCAAGGCAATATCACCAGTCTCGCTGTCAGATTTTCCGCCAGTTCAATATCATTCTCGCAACTCCTCCACTGCAAGTACTGATTCCGCGACTCACTTGTTGAGCACCAAGAGGACACCCTCGAGGTTTCACAAGATGAGGGTCAGGCAGGGCGAGTCGTTACTGCCTCTGTCTCGTGCCATTCTCACTCCTTCGGAGCTCAATCGCCAGCTCGATGCTGCGTCTGATACAGAGAGTCTCAAGGGTCACAACCTTCGCATCAACTTGCCTCAGATGGCTGAGGTCAATACACCCAGAATGGCCGTTGTGACTGTCAGCCTATCGCCTGCACCTCGTTCTTCTACTGCATCGGTGATCACCAGCTCTCCAATCGTACCTACGTCTATCCAATCCTCGAACCCTTCTCCCATTATGAGGCAGTTCACTGCGGCCTTTGGGAGGCCGAGCCGCAAGTTGTCTATGTTTGGGTCACAGTCAAAAGGCAGTGGTAAAATACCTCTCATTCTTACTGTTGGGCAGCCGCTTTCGCCTGTCCCTACCTCCCCAGCTGACAAGAGTTCAACAAAGAAGTCTGTCTCCCGGCTCCGCGTACCTTCTATAAAACGCAGACCTACTCCATTGGATCTCACTGATGCCATTCCTACACCCGTCATTCGGCCTCTACCTGTCATTAATACAAAGGCTGAGGCTCTTCAGAAGGTTGACAAAGGTAAAGGCAGAGCACCGCCATCGCCTACAACTCTGGTGGAAAGGGATGTTATATCCCGTTCCCACGCTGCCCTTAGACAATTACCTCAACTCCCCCGAAACAGTTCAGGATCCTCGTCTTCTAGTGCGCACAGTCACCCCGAAGCTGCCACATCTGCTGCCCCTCATGAACGTCACGGTTCAATATCGTCGCTCTTATCCATATCTTCTATATCTTCCTTCCTGGACAGTCTTCACAGCACCCATTCAACGAGCTCAGTTGACGGAGGAAGTGAGAAAGTCCTGCCGAGCATCCCACTGACGCGCGGCAATACCATTGAAAGCATGGACTCCGAGTCGTCTTTGTCCTCTTCTTTCGAGAAACATAAACAAAGTGAGAGATCGACCTGGATGACGGTCTGGTCGCAGGACAGTGCTGTTACCTTAAGCCAGCCCCCCGACGAGGAGACCATGCTTGCATATGCATCACTTGTCCCCGGTGCGAGCATGACCATGGGTGATCAGGCGAGTGTAGAGAATGTTCCGAAGAGAGAGGACGTTTCTCCTGTGCCTCGCGCTCCGATACCATTTGCACTTCGGCCAGGCCATTCGATGGTAAAGTTGTCGGGTATCCCACCTTCGTTGCGGACATGATTTAGAGGACTACACCCACGATACGGGACGCTGCCTGAGATATTAGCACAACTTACATACTAGTTAATACGATATTTACATCTACATTCCACTCCTCACCACTGCATGAACTTCTTAGCTTAAAGCTCAGCGCACAAGCTTCAAAGCTTCAAGCCTCAATAGCCTGTACAATTGACATGAAGTATAATATAATTGGACTTGCCCAAGATGGTACTTGGATTCGATGACGTATATTTGAAAAGTCCTGTTCTTCTTCTCGCTCTCATATTCCGGTGCAAGCCACTAACACTGCACCGACCATGGCGTTATCCAACTGGGCAGCATATCTGAACAGGTCAACAAAACTGCTCAGAGACAGTAGCATCAAAAGCACGCTTGTTTAAATGTCGGATTCTAACCGCAAAACTGACAAGGCTATATACACAGTACTCCGTATGGAAGGCGCAGACGGGCCTTCAAGAGCACCTTTGACGCTCTTCAGGTTAAATTCTAAACAGGACATCGAACAGTTTGCGACTGGCTGCGATGCAGATATTGGTGGCACGTCCACTGTCCATTTAGAGCTTGACGAGTCCACGGAGCGTAACAAGGGCAGTGGGGCCACAGCTACGGGTCGCTTTTGGGGCGAGATGCGACTGGATGTCAGACCGGAACTGCAAGGGCGAATCAGAGGTGGATATACTGGGTTCCGGTCCAAGGTAAATGATATTTCCGAGCTTGATATCACACCCGTTGACACGATGTCCGTATCAGCCCCGCCCGACACTCTTTGGTGAAATGGTCGACGACGTTTCAAATCACCAATTCCTTGCCCTGAGGCTACGCCTCGGTGGTGATCCCCGGTTACGCAACTCGTATTTTGTGAATTTACAAACTGACGGGCCGATCACGACGGACCTGTGGCAGCACCGGCTCTACTTCCAACGAAATGATGGTGACTGGGAAGATGTATTCGTGTGTCCAATCTGTACTGACATTTTCATGGGCGCCAACTGATCGCAACTCTTTCAAGATACCGTTTGAGAACTTTATACTGACAAATACTGGTGAATTGGTGCAGCATCAAATTACGATGATGCGCGAGCGGATACGGACAGTTGGGATATCGCTGCTTGGAGGAAACAGCGGTGTTCCGGGTTCTTATGACCTCGGCATTGACTCCATACGGGTGGTGAATGAGGAAGACGTGTCACGGCCTTCATGTAAGCGGTTCTCACTGTGATTTGATAGCTGAAGACTCAAAGAAAATAGCGATAGAAAAGGATCCATCCCGTGGCATTTGAGCGCTACTACGTACATTTCACCACGTTGGACACTTCAACAAAAAAAACTTGCATGAGCATCTAACGGGTTTGGTCCATAATCATAAACTATATATACAACGGCCTATACAACGGCAACCGTTTTGTAGCCGACGGGGCTGACGAGTTATAGAACCGCAGAAGAACGTACAAAGGTCAAAAAGCCCATCAGTCAGCCAGCAGGGAGCGCGAGGAGTAGAAAAGTGTGTCCGGAGATAAAGGAAGTGTGGGTATAAGGATGTTCTCATACGACTACACAACCACTGCAGCATCCGCCATGATCGCCTTCATGAGCGTCACCTTTGCCACTGTAGACGCCAGGTCCGCCGCCACCGGAGTTGGCCATAACGGGTCTGCCTGTTTGTTGCTCCTGCGAGAGTGAATTACATGAATGAATTGTCAGAAATTAATAAAAGATTCTTACTTTGTTGTACTTTCTTATCTCGCGGACGAGATTGCTGAATGCCTCGTCGACGTTGATGCGCTGCTTAGCCGATGTTTCGATGAACTTGCAGCCAAAGTGTTTTGCAAGGTCACGGCCCTCTGTTCATTATTAGGAACGAGTACAGTCAAAACTCAGTCACGACTTGCCATTCATTCCAACCTGTCGCTCATACTCAAGATCGCACTTGTTAGCCACGACGATAACAGGGAACGAATCTTGGTCCTTCACACGAAGAATCTGTTGATGGAAAGTGCTAATTTCCTCGAAAGAGTCGCGGGAGGTGATAGAGTAAACGAGGAGGAAGCCTTCACCAGTGCGCATGTATTGCTCGCGCATGGCTCTGTGAAAAGTGAGCGGCAAGGACTATCGGCAGTAGAATATCACTCACCCGTATTCCTCCTGACCAGCGGTGTCGAGGACGTCGAGCAATGCGACCTCTTCATCAATGACGCATTGCTTGCGGTACGAGTCTATGTTACTATTCTCAGTAAGGATTCGAATGGAGGAGAGGCCATTATACCCTCGATTGTTGGGTCGTATTCGTCGACGAAGTGACTTTGAATGAATTGAATGGTGAGGGCAGATTTACCGACACCTGGTTGGAACAAGTATTATCAGACATGGTTCATCGTATCTCTGCAGCTTAAAACTCACCACCACCGCCGACAACTACCAACTTGTATTCCCTCAAGAACTGCGCCTGTAAATAGAACAATGCTGTGAGTTCTTGTTGGTGATGGGTTAGGATGGCACATACCCTCGACATAGTTTGTCAAGTAAACAAGAAAGATGTAAGACTTGAAAAGAACTTGCCTGAATACAAGGGAGGATAGCTTGGTGAAAGCAGATGGAATGATGAGCGCACGGGCAATTATAATGCTGATATTGGCTACCCGAGGACCAAATAAGACCAATTCTAGATGTTGTGGACCGACCGGATCCGACCCTGGCTAAGTATCATGATGACCGTGTGGCCAAGGTTGTGGCGCATCTTATGCTGTGGATCCTTGATGTCTTGCTGACTATTGACAAAAGCAGGTAGCTAACTCTTAGACTCAGTCTTTCTGAGTTAGTGGAGTATTCGTGCTGAAGACGGTCAGGGTCTACTCCTGTAACAACCTATCTATTTCCATTCGTCATCGCATTGTTTATTTCTTCAAATCGCACTCCAAATCACCCAGGTTTCGTCCACATCAGCGTTTTCTTCTGGTATGATTTACTATTTTTAGAGTGCCACGACCCTTGAAGTTTGAGGCCTGAGGATGCAATAATCGTGGTGCAGTGCACTACTACAGCAACTTCATTGTACGGGTCCGGGACGCGTTTACCTATGCATCTCAAGTGAACACGCCGTATCATGGGAAGGTTGGCCTTGTGACGTTATTCTTTCAACTCACTTCCTGTGAATCTTTTATAGATCTACCAGCCCTCTGCAGCACGTAGTATTATCCTTCGTCAACCTCACATATCAGCAGAAGTATTCACAAACAATGCATAGCATTTTGAAATGTGACCTCATACGCTCTTCCGAGTTATGCAAGTGACCTTCGAAGTTCTAAAAACGAAAGGGATCCATAGGTGCGTGGGTCATCGAGTCAGCCTCGGTATAATCAGCTGACATGTATTGTCTCCAGGGCGCTCCGAGGATTTGGCTTGTGTATCAAGTAATTTTCGGGATGCCGCTCGGCGCTGTTGAAGCGGCTGCCATTGTCAGATAGAGGCGCGCTCTCCAAATTTATATTATACGCTAACATCGTAGCCTAAGGAACATATTGATGCTCAAAGCATTCCTGATCACTGCGAGACCCCTGGTTGGTTGAAGGGACTCGGTCGCGAACTAGATAAGGCGTGCCCTGTGCACTATTTTAAATTCAAGGTCGCTTCTCAAAGTCAAAAGTGATTCAAGCTGTAGATTTGGAGTCAACCGCCGGCCCCCGGCAGCCCACTGCGTCTAGCAGGCTCTAGTCTCATCAAGGACTTCATTTGTGAGTTTTTTAACTCGTGTTCTACAGACTCAATGTCAACTCCTTGCTTTTTGAGACATCCCGATCTGGTAAACTGACATAGTCCAAAGGTGTTGGAGCCACAATCTTGATCATTGCTGAAACAAAACGCTGAGTCAACGCTGAGCGGGGTAAGTATCCATACAAACCGGTGTGCGTAGCACGTTTTATTACTCGTGATCACAGCATGCAACGTGGTTCATGCGCAATCTTAATTTCAAGTTATGATACAATGATCAGACAGGGTACACGCGTCAGGGGAAAGGGATCGCTTTTTTCACGAGATCAGTATGTATAACGTTTAGATCCTATTTCCAATACCTATGATCATAACGGATCACCAATTTGAAGTGTCAGAGAACCTGAATCACGCAAGGTGCACTGACTTGCCATCAATAAAGTTTTTTTATTGGCTATGCTTGTTGCATTTTCTGCGCTATTTTTGCAGGTCCAGAATTTAGGTTCAACCCTGTAGTGGAAGCTTGAATGCACCAAATGGGTGCTTTATTCTCAACCAAGGAGCCTGGTTGAAAGTCTTATGTGCACGATATTGACGGATCCCTCAGGCTAACCCTGACCGACCCGCATTAAGTAAGGGGCGAAAAGTTCGGAACGTAATCGTTGATTCATGACCTACTGGCGCCTACAAAGTTGCCCGAGCGCTCATTTCATTCCTCACTCCAAACCATAAGCCTGAGCATTAAACTTGACAAATATGCACTAGCAGCCATCACTCTCTGACACAAGTAAGTACTTGTGGTCGATACAAACTCAAGATGATGATCAATAGCTCCGAGGGTTATGTTACGTGACTTGGACTAGCGCATGACAACGCTAGCTAGTTCATTCTCCATCTGACACTAGGCTCATTCTTCACACGTCATGTTTTGAAAAACATGCATATCGTATGTAAACCATATAAACGAGTTGCCCAGCCATTTTTACCTCCCTGCCTCAGCTCCTGCGACAATGGCTTTCGAGTCCACTTACACGTACCAGTTTGATACTGCTGTTTACAAGGGCGCCGTTACATTCCCTACTCAACTGTTCATCAATGGTGAATTTGTCAACCCCGTCAATAAGGGGACGATCGAGTGAGTGTCCATGATTACTGCAAGTGATCAATGATTCTGACGGATTCCTTCAGTTTGATCAATCCGGGTATGACTGCCTGGGTATACAGCTTTTCATCATTTTGATCAGGTTGAACTAGCTACTTGCAAGGCTATTGCCCGAATTTCAGTCGGGGACTGTGAAGACATCGAGCTCGCAGCACAAGCGGCAAGAGCAGCATTCAAGGAACACTGGGGTTTGAAGGTGCCCGGGGCAGCTAGAAGCAAACTGCTTCACAAGCTCGCTGATCTTGTCGATGCCAACACTGACCAAATTGCTGCTCTTGAGGCTCTTAACGTCGGTCAGTCAGACACCCTTATTAATCGAATCACACTGATCCGCTACTGCTAGGCAAGACCTTTCACGCGGCCAAGGCACAGGATTTGCCAATTACAAGTTCTATTCTACGCTACTACGCTGGTTGGGCTGACAAAATACAAGGAAAGAGCATTCAGGTGTGCCTATCGACAATTGCAACACAATATTCTCTTTCTGACGAGTTTTAGACAACACCTGACAAGATTGGTTTTACTCGTCACGAACCTATTGGGGTAATTGTATGTAGTCCCATTACGTTGTAAATCGGACGTTCACGAGCATGTGGCAGGGTGTAATCGTTCCATGGAACTTTCCCCGTTGGTATCCAAGCTTATGAGGCTATTCTCTACTTACCCCGTGTCTTCTAGTGAGCACGCTTATCATGAAACTCGCCCCCGCACTCGCTTGCGGAAATACAATCGTAGCGAAGCCTTCTGAGTTCACGCCTCTCTCCGCACTGTTCTTATGCACATTGATCCGAGAAGCTGGTTTCCCACGTGGAGTAGTCAACATTGTACCCGGCTACGGTGACACTGCGGGTCAAGCGGTCGGTGAAAGCATGATAATCGACAAGGTTGCATTTACCGGGAGTACTCTCACGGGTAGGAAGATCATGGAAGCAGCCGCAAAAAGCAACTTGAAGAAAATCAGCCTCGAGCTAGGTGGAAAGAGTCCGAGCATCATTTTCGATGATGCAGACATTGATCAAGCTGTCAAGTGGGCTATTAATGGGATTTTGTGCGTTTCTCAGTTCTTCTCCTCTCGTGTCTTGTTCCTGAAGGCCATGAAGCATGAACCAAGGCGAGCTCTGTGTTGCGGGGTCCCGGATTTACGTACAAGCAGGCATCTATGACGACTTTCTGCAAAAGTTCACAGAGAGTGCTCAGTGTCTTTCTGTGGGTGATCCATTTTCCCCGGGCACGTTCCAGGGGCCTCAGATATCTGAGAGACAATTCGAAGTGAGTGCGCAGCCGAACGGTCTATAACAAATACCGATGTCCGACGTAAGCGTGTCATGGGCTACATCAAATCCGGCCAAGAGGAAGGTGCAACTCTTCGCCTTGGTGGCGAACGGCATGGCACAGAAGGTTATTTCATACAACCTACGGTCTTCACGGAGTGCACGCCCAACATGAAGATCGTGCAAGAGGAAATATTTGGTCCAGTAGCAGCAATTATGAAATTCTCCGCAGAGGAAGGTTCGCTTATATTTCATGTTCCCGCTAATATTCATTTGACGGCGTCAAAGAGGTGATTGAACAAGCAAACAATACTACGTATGGGCTTGCGTGTTCGGTTTATACAAAGGACATCAATAGAGCAATGCGTGTTGCAAGCAACATCGAGGCAGGCACCGCGTGGGTGAGCGTGAGATAGTTCTTGCAACGTTCAAGTCAGCTGATCACCAGGTCCGGGTTCGTAGGTAAATTTCACTAATTGGCCAGACCTCGGATTGCCAGTTGGTGGATTCAAGCAATCTGGTGCAGGTAAAGACCTGGGCGAAGATGCTCTTGAGAAGTAAGTTAATTTCTCATCTGATCGACGCCCGATGATCTGACCTAGCCTACAGCTACACCAATATTAAGGCAGTGCACATCAACATTGGCATTAAGATCTAATCCAGCAAACTCAGGCAGTGTGCTCCAATACCACACCTTGACCGCATGACCCCCGGACCGTCATAGATTAGCGAAGCAGTGAACGAGGAAATGTTACTAGCCAATAAAGATCATTGCTGAGCTCACTGTCTCCACTCCGAGATTGAGCTTCTGTTGATGTAATGTGCGTGTCCTTGCCCCGAGGATCAATTAGTGCTGGTTCTACGACGTAAAAGCCCGGGGTTCGTGTGCCTTCTAAGTACCCCAGTGCTTCTTAAACACTTAGATATATGATCGTCTAAAGGCTGAAAGAAAGCCATTCACAAAATGCCCATCCGCACCTACATCTTCAAAGTTGATCTCCTTGAGTCTCGAGACCCAGAAATCTCGAGGACCTTTTCCATACCCGCATCATGGACATTTCAAAAGCTTCATGCCGCGATCCAACACGTCTTCCTCTGGCAGAACGAGCATCTCCACGTGTTTACGTTTCAAATTCCAATTGGAGGGGGCATAAACAAAGTTGTATCGATACAAGATACAGACATGATGGGGCGGGATGATGAAGAGGGACCTAACGATATCGTCCTGGATGAAAAAAATGTCAAACTCAAGGACGTATGGGACAACAACGGAAGGTATCACAGGGACGTCACTAATGACGGAACCCTGGGGGGTTGCTTCTATGAATATGACTTTGGTGTAAGTGATACCACGTTGTGAATGTTCCGAATTTGACCAAACCGATCTGATAGGATTCTTGGGAACATGAAATTACCCTGTTGGCAGTCGGCACGTCCGATGTGAAGGAAGTCTCAGTTCTTGAGGTTTCCGGTTGTGCACCCCTCGAGAACAGTCACGGGGTCCTGGGATGGGAGGGCCTTAAGAGAGCCTTCGCGGATCCAAACCCCAATGACGTGTCTCTTGAAGCGAGGAGGTTATCATGGCTTGTTTCGCCTCTGGGCGGTGCATTCCACCCCGCTATAGCACCGACTATAGAGCAGCTCAATGCACCTGGGCTATTCGATAAACGCTTCAGGCAGATTCGCAGGGGCATTCTATGATTTGTGGCAAAACCATGCTCCGAAGGCCTTTGCGCTCGGATTACGCTCCACACCTACCGCTTTACGTATAGCATGAGGACGGGACTCAAGTACTCACCACCCACGTTAATTACAACGTACTTAAAGCCCTGTAAAATAGTCAGAGCAGCAGCGTACTTATTTGCTGCTGCTATGTAGTATTAGGAGGACATATGTCCCCGGACTATCCTAGTAAGTAGTCACTTCGCTAGTTCTAGGTCTTGAGACCCAGAAGCTCGCAGTGCGAGGCTTTGTATTCACATAACGTATCTAATATGATATGATCGTCACTGAGTAGAAGAGACCCGTAACTGAGATCTGAGAATTGGTGGTGGCTAGGTTTGAACACAGGAAACAACACGATGCTTAGCTAGGTCCGCATAGGATCCGACGCACCCCCTACAACCGGATTAGGGAAGATCAATGTTAATTGGTCCTGAAATCAAGCTAGCGTCTATCATTTCACGCCCACATCGTGGTCCAAGTATTCACTCTCAGGATGTCTGATCACATTCTTCTGGATCACATAGTTTCACAGACTAGGCAGAACATCGAGCTGTTAATCTCTCACAACAGATTATCCCCATCGGATGGCCGCGATATTCTACTCAAGCTTCCTAGCACTGGAGTGGCAGGATCCATGATAGCCATCACACAGCAAACGCAGCGCCTTTCACTATCTCCGGCGCCCGCTCAGAGTATGATCAATAATAATAATGGCTTGCGTGTGTCGCCAAAGGTAGAAGCTCGTGCGATCTGGGATTGGACAAGCGAGGTAAATATATTCCATCTACACTTACTAGGTGTTATAGATTTGCTAAAGCCATGATAGGATCCCAATGATCTATCATTTACTGCAGGAGATATAATAGAAATCGTGAAGGAGACAAACGCAGATTGGTGGACAGGCAGAAGCAAGACGGGGAAGCAGGGCCTATTTCCTGCCACATATGTGGAGAGACTGGCTTCGCGATCTGTTTCTCCACCGGTGTCTTTCCCTGAATTTCCAAAGACAAGGACATCGTTGGATTCAAAGTATGGTTTGGCTTCGGAGCCCAAGTATATGCCTCCAGGTCTCCCGGGCCCTCCGCAGTATTCTTCACCACAGCCTGTGGTGCAGCAGTACCCCCCACCCCCTGGTCCTCCAGTCGGTGGTTATCATCCTCCTGGTCCTCCGGCCGGAGGTTATCCGCCCCCTTCCGGGCCTCCTGGGCCTCCTTACAATCCTTATCCGGGAAATCCTCCAGTGGCTCAGCCAGTTCCTCAGCAGCCCCCAAAGAAGGGTCGTTTCGGTAATCTTGGCGCTACGGTAGGTCTACCGTGCAGGAACTGTCTATAAATATTTATCGATATAATTTCCAGATGGCACAGTCAGCTGCTGGTGGTCTTGGGTTCGGTGCAGGTGCGTGTACTTGATTTTTACGTCTTCGATACTTCTAATCATTCCTATCCAGGTGCTGCCATCGGTGGTGATATAGTGAACTCAATTTTCTAGACTTCGTGCGTTACTAAGCTTACACAAGTACATTCATTCGTGCTACGTCTTTCTTGACTACAGCATCTTACATTTGGTTATGGTATTAGATGCGAAATTCCAACACCGTGGCTTCATATTTACACAATTTGATGCTTCTCAGTAACATCCGAAGTGGTTTTACGCTTAAGCCCCGCAAATACTGGACTACTGGAACTGTATCGTAATGCACCCAAAAACGTCTGTTCGTATCTCCACATTGAAAGTCGAGCTCGTCGGTTCTCGTAACCCTGTCATTTCTCGGACATCCCCGCCTCTTGTACCTGCCAGCAGTTGCATGCAGCAATCCAGTATGCATTCAGCTGGCACCTGTTCGGAACCGCATATCGTCCCTCAGCACGTGAGGAGCACCGTTTCATCATCTTGTTGGGTTATAGCCAAAACCTTGCCGTTACTCATACACTGAAGATGACAAGTGACTGGGCCACATCGGCACGCGCGAAGTTCATCGAGAAAGACGTCAAATACGATTTATTTGATGAAACCCGGAAGTATCGAGAGATAATCTTGGAAGATTGGGGTATGGAGAAATGCTATTACTACTTGGTACGTATCTACCAGCTTTAGCATTATCTATGCCTTACCTTGTTCAAGAACAACCACGAACCCAAATAGCAAGATGCGTGACCGGAGACGCTGAGATCATGAAAATTTGCCTCTAGGCCTTCAATTCTGCTGTGCGAGCTCCCGTCGAAGAGTTCAATCAACCTAGAGAGTTCCTGAAGCTTTTTCACGACATTCGACAAGCCGCCGGTGATGGCCACAATCTTGCCGACGATGCAGATCACGAGGATGGGTAAGTTGGAGAGGAGTAACGTATTCGCAACGACTGAGGTTTGTTGGTCATAGGTTTGATATAGTCATTTCGGCCATGCTTTTAGAATCGTTGGAAATGAGCCACCTATCAATGCGACTGTGGCCTAGCGATAGTTTGTCGTGCATGAGGGTACTCATCCCTTGAATTTATTGGTATCTCCCATCAATGGGTGCGCTATCCGTCGGCCACCGTTCATCCACACTGAGCCGCGATTAAGGCTCTGACGACATGAGTTTGGCCTGGTGAAGGGCTCATGCGCATTGTCACTGGTACTCACGCAGAATACGTTGACAACGGTATGTGCCAGTAGGTACCCTGATGGCAACAGAAAAGGTAGAAGAAGACAAGTCGCGGGGAGGCGGCCAAGGAACGTGACATGTGAAAAACGTTGCTTGTGGACGTTGAAATAGGGAAGCAATGGGAATAAGTGTAGTGCTATCTTCTGAAAAAGGAGAATACTAAAGCGAGTGCCAAGTGCACGAGACGAGGAGCGCCGGTACGTTTGGCTAATCTTACCTATGCTGACTGTAGTGGGATCACCTTATAAAAGGTTCCAACTTGGTTTTCAGACGGCGTGTATTTCCGGAGTGAATGCCTTTTCTTCTGCTTTTGGGTTTTTTATCCTTTGAACTGATAAATCGGACGGGGCCCACTGCCCTTGTTTGATGGTGGCTGCGAACTACTAGTATTAAATGACTAATGAAAAGTAACACGGATTTACTTTCGGAAGGTTGGGAAGGCGTGTCAAGATTTAAACATTGCATGCGCTTCTGAGAAAGTCCTAGTCAGCATTAAAGTTAGCATTAACTTTGAACTGTTCAGAATTGACTCAGAGTTTCTGTCCTTCAGGTGCTTCGGTGGCGGTAGCGGAGAGCTGAATTTCAAATTATGTAACATCACGTGTATGTCACAGCTGATTGCTTACCGATCAGCGTCACGCTTAGTATTGCTAATGGATTAGATTTCCCGCCAATGAAATGTGGCTGGTTGCACTCTCCTCAGCTTACTCACTTTTCAGCATCTGTCCCGTCCGCGACCTCCGGCTTTCTCAGCCAACTCACCTTTCCTTCTGCCTTTTAACTTGAACAATTTGACGGTGGCGGAACATCCGTATCTTTCACCTGCAATATCTACTATTTCAGTCATATCCTCCGTGCCCTCGTCCCCGATTCTCTCTGCTTCGAATAGCAAGTCTTAGAGCGGTCCATTAATCCTTATATCACGAGGATGTCCGATTCAGACTCTACCCTATCCCCCGAACCTCAGCGCACTATTAAAATAATCTTCATCTCGGATTATGTACGTCTACCTTCTTATTCTCCTTGTATATTCCATTTTTCCTATGATTTATCATTCTTCGGCATTTACCAGCTCTGCGCCTTTTGCTACATCGGGAATAAGTCCCTCAAAGACGCTATTGCCGGATGTCGTGACTTGGATGTACGTTTCGACGTGGAATTCCGGCCATTTACCCTCCTCTGCCAATCATCCGTACCCGAGGTCCCCAAAGCGAAAGGTGAAAAAGTGCCCAATCGCCGGGATTACCTCGTTCGGAAGTTCGGTAAAGAGCAAGCAGAAAGCAAGTGGAAAGTGGTGGAGGAATTAGCACAAAAAGCCGGGTTACCACTGTGAGCATTTTTAGCATGCGGCCAGCGTTTTTCTGATACAATGGATTAATAGCGCGGAAGATGGAATCGTGGCCCGGTCTACTCTCGCCCACAGACTGGCTGTGAAAGCATATAAAGTTGGCGGGCAAGCTATGCAAGGCCACCTCAATGATCTTTTATTCGATGCCATTTTCGCCGCCTGCAAGGATGTCAGCGACGTCGAGTTTCTTGCCGATGCAGCAGAGAAAATTGGCTTGATGAACAAGGCAGAGGTGTGTTTCAATGTCAAACTTAATCAACAGTCGATGACATAAAATTGCTGCACCTTGCAGGCTACTACTTTCTTGCAAGATACTGATTGCAAGAACTGCGTCAATCAAATGATTGAAGCCGCCCGGGCGAGCGGTGTGAATGGCGTGCCTTCCATCATCATTGATGGAAAATGGGCTTTGAATGGCGTTCAATCTACAGAGTGTTACCTCCAGGTGAGCAAGACTCGTTCATTTTAGCCCATCAATAAACTCGTCCGGGTGCAGTATCGCTGATTCTTATGGCATGTAGATCTTGCGCAAAATTGCACAATCTTCGTCAATGACGGAATGTGCATCGATCGTCTCAGTGGAATCATAACAGATTTTACGCATACTTCTTTCACTCCTCTACCCATACCGTGCTTTATGACCTCAATTCATGCGTGCAGGTCGTGGTCATCATTTTGGATTAATTATTTAAGGACCACTCACGCAACCTCGCGTAGGAAATTCAGTTTGAAAGGGCCTTGCATTTCGTACTTTTTCTCTTGCTCTTGTACCATTTTCTGCGTGTTGTATCGCATCGCTGTTTTTATTAGCGAGCGTGTGTTTGTATCTTCCTTCTATGCTATGCTATCTACTCCTTTACTTGTTAGTCTTGTTTTTAAAGTGGCCACCACGAGGGAGAGGTAGGGTATATAACATTTGACCTTCTCTGTTCCATTTGACACGAGGATAACCCCCTTCAAGTCATCACTATCTTTCACCATCTTGCGAAGTTCGACAGTCGGTTCACCGATTGCCGAGCTTTCCATACCCCTGTACTGATCAAACTCGGTACCATGCTACGTCAACACAGTCACCTTATTCGGCCTTATTTCCGGCAGGTTGCCGTTTGTAACCGTACACGGCGGAGTCTTTCAGAAGATAACAGTCAAGACTACCTGTTCGAAGCTTCCGATTGGTTGATTCAAGTGTCAATGTGAACAGTCTGAAACCGAAAGGAAGGATCACCACGCAGGCGCTAGTTGAAGAATGTTACCTCCTTCCGGTTTCATAGTGGAGTGCGGTTAAGTCATTCCCCTAGAACCTATCTCAGAACCCATCTGTGGCCAATAATAAACGATCTGGACCCGTTTCCTATGATCACACGTTGAAGATAAACCTCGCGGTCCCGTTACCCATGTGCTCCACATTCTGCACAGTAGAGTATCAGGTAGGTACATCAGGTTGTTGCCCAAATGCACTAGCTGATAACTTGGGACGTGAATGACCTAGACTGGCCTGCGATGGCCTTAAGGTGCTGCAATTCCACGTATAAGTTCCAAATCCATGGACCAACTATACCAGTTGGGCCAACGGCTTGCAGGTTCGCATTAGTATTCATCTTCTTTGCAAGGCCCAGGATCGTGCTAGTCTATGTGGAAGCAAAGACTTCATGAGCAGATGATGATATGTGTGAAAAGCAACCCACAGATTCAGATTAATGCGGCACCAAACCATCTGATAACGAACTAAATTGCAGAAGTCTCGACTTAGCGATGGAAGATCCGGGGTGCATAAACACAGGCACAAGTTATCTTAACAGAGTATCCGAGAGGTTTTTGAGGAGCTGAAGGGGAGCTGCATCAAAGGCGTGTTCGGCCTAACCCGAGAGGTATTACACAAGAATCTGCACAAAAGCAGCCTCGTGTTGCCTAGCCTTTAGGTGTTCAGCAATTGCCAATACACATGTACTAATACAATTTATACGAAGCGAACAACGATAGCATGGCCTTTGAAATATCTTGAGTATGGTTTGGAAAGCGCACGAGAAACATACCACAATGCATGGACGGTGGAGATTGATCACGATCATTCTATCCAATCGTTTAGGAATATCCTCTAGTTCGTTGCGAACGCCATCGCGTGATATGTTGCTCGCGATATGATTAGAAGCTTTAAGCCTCTCGAGAGCGGCAAGCACCCAGTTCTGACAGTTCCAGTTTTCTCTGCCTCGATATACGGTTACTTGTCGAAGCAACGCGCCTATCTCTTTTTCCGAGAACACATCAATCTCTCCGACCGCCAGACAACCACGATAGCCTTCAGCAAGAATTTCCATACATTCGTCTTCAATGCAAGAGTAGGTAAGGGTGTCGATGTTGCCAATCGCTTGGTAACAAGTCCCCCAGTGATCTACTTGATCTGAATGTTCTTTCCCAGAGCTGCTGGCTTTGATTGAGTCGGCATTTGCGTTGGAGATCGCAAAGAGTGCCCAGTGAAGTGGCATCCTGTTACCATTGGAATCGTGTCCGCGCCAGTATTGTGCAACACACAGAGTTCTTTTCTCAGACAGCCCACTGTCGTCGCCCATGATAGTAGAAGGAAAGTTGTGTGGCTGGTATAAGGCATTACGATAACCGTATCAGGTTCCCGCGCCACCGCTTGGCTGGACCAGTCTAAGGATAACCTGGTTTGGGAACTCTATCCCCCTTGGTTAACGTTTTTCAATCGAACATATCACACCTCTGCTCCTCACCATCACATCGGCAACAGGATTATGACCGTCTTCGTTCCATTGAAGGCAGGTTCGTCTCCCCCTCCAACACCCTCTTTTCTGGTGCCTTCAGAAACCCCAAACTTGCACCTGCGAAAAGCTATCAAGGCTATCCTGAAGGCCAAACGGTTGGTTGTCGTGTGTGGTACGTTTTCCAACCGTCGGAAAATTCAGATACCGTCGCCTTAGTCCAACTAAAAATGTACCAGGTGCTGGTATATCTGTTTCTGCCGGAATTCCAGACTTTCGCTCAGAGTCGGGTCTCTTTCAAACGTTGAAGCGAGACAACCCGAAAGAAGCGTTGTCTTCCGGAAGAGACTTGTTTGATGCGTCAGTGTTCAACGTGAGTTATCGCCTTTCTATGTTCGATTTTCCTAGATTGTGCATGGAAAATCTCTATTGCCTCAACCACCACGCGTGCTTACTGCTCATGGATGGCGACGGGCTCACACACGTTTAATAGAATGAACACACGACATCAATGTTTTGCCAAATGATAGCTCAATTATCCGAGCTCTCGCAAGCAGCCAGCCCCACGCCTTTTCATCAGGTACTGCGATCACTTGATGATAGGGGCAGGCTCCTGCGTGTCTACACCCAGAACATCGACGCTATCGAGCTGAAATCTGGTCTTTCCTTTGGCGTCCCAGAGTTTGATAAGAGACGAGCAAGGCCGAGATCTAAGCCAAAATCGACTGGTCCTCCCATCGCTGATCAACCTACGATATCTACTAGCGCTCCTTCTTCGCAAGATGGCTCATCGACGACACCGGGATCAAGGTACATGTCTCCTGCTGTTGAAGTCCCTCGTTGCATTCCTCTACATGGAACACTGCAAACGCTGCATTGCCAAACATGCATGCACACGTTTCCACTCGAGAATTACGTGCCTTCCCTGACATTAGGAACACCCCCAACTTGCCCCGAGTGCACCCAAATGGAGGAGACGCGTCAACTTATCGGAAAGCGAGCCCGAGGTGTGGGAAAATTGCGACCCAGTGTGGTCCTTTACAACGAGCTGCATAAAGATGGCGAAGGGGTGGGCGAAGTCGCGAGGAGAGATCTTGTTGGAAGTTCTAAAGGCAAGGGGCGGAGTGGTGTGGATACTTTGCTTGTGGTTGGCACAAGTTTAAAAGTTCCAGGCACCAAACGCATGGTTCGCGAATTTTCGAAGGCGGTACGCGCCAGAGGACACACTGCGTCGAGGGATTCTACGGCTGCATCTACAGGTCTCGTAACACCAGCACCCACTCCTGGCAAGAGGCCAGCTACATCGGCAGGCGACTCTCCCTTCAAGTCTATCTATTTAAACTTTGATTTTCCGGGGCCGACGCGAGAATGGGAAGGCGTCTTCGACGTGTGGTTACAAGGAGATGCTCAAAGTTTCGCGGAGCTCTTGGAGGAAGAAATCGTAAAAGAGGCTGCCGAAAAAGAAGCTGCATTAGAGAGGAAGCGGAAACGGGAAGAGGATGCCACTCACTTAGAAGGCTCAGAAGAAGCAGGTCTTCCGAAGAAGAAGACAGCCAAGAGAGAAAACCAGAGCTCTGAAAAGCTAACAAAGCGGAAACTCAAAACCTTGCCGTCTGTTCGTCCTCGAAAGTCCAAGAGCAAACACCAAGAAGACATGGACATCAGTGTACCATCCGCCCCGAAGATAACGCATGGCAACTCGAAACTTACGATTCGAATTCCACCCCTGAAAGGCCGTTACATCCCCGAGGTATGCATCACCACTCCCGTACCGCGGGGACTTAAAGCGGCGCAATTTCCTTGCACTCCCCCTGCAACTCACGTGAAACATCGGTTGTTGTCTCATTCGGACTACCCGCCTTCAGATACCACGGAGATAGGATTTGACGAAAGCGATCTCTCCGAGTTGTCTGGTGATGAGGTAGCAGGCGAACTTCCTAGGACTGCTATACGGACTGCACAATATGGACTTCGGGCCACCAGAGGGTAATAATATCTTGTACTATCTTTATTGTATTTATGCATCGTACGCTACACGCCTCGGATTTTCACAATTAGTTAGCAGCTGTTGCACATGGGACTGCTTCAAGGTGGGATTTTAGCGTGCTATTCTTTCCAAATTGTGCCATGTGTCACATAAACTTTGTTATACAGTAGGCAAAGCTTATTATATCAAGCTGACAAGTGAGACGCTCCTTACTAACGTCCATCATCATGAATAATCGAAATCCATAGTGCTTTCGCGCATCAAAAGGTTTCAATGTCACAAACTTCGTTATACAGTGGGCAAAGCTTATTATATCAAAGGGCGTAGCTATTTTGACGCGGTCCTGCCACGCCTGCCGCGGTCGTGACGCGGCCGTGACGCGGCGTGACGTGCATGTGACGTGGCACAGACGAGCCTTGAAAGCTTGACGCGCCATTCCTATATTCTACATTCGACTTCCAGATCAAGTTGGGTGAGTTCACGACCATTCCTTTGTTATTTTATTTGCCATAGGGCCATGTACAATAGGAATTGGTTACAGTGCCACGTCACAGGCGCGTCACGACCGCGGCAGGGCCGCGTCAATATTTCACCTGGCCCGTGAGACGCTCCTTACTAACTCATCATCATGAATAATCGAAATCCATGATGCTTTCTCGCTCATCAAAAAGTTTCAATGTATTATATATGTGGCAAGGCTGGAAGGCCTCCAAGCATTCCACCACCTACATCTCTTTCACATGTCTTCGCAACAAAAAGCTCTTGTTCTTCCCAAAAAGCAGGGCAGCTTTGAGCTTAGCTCCCGCAGCATCCCCAGTCCTGGGGCCGGGCAACTCCTGGTCAAAATTCAATCCGCAGCTCTGAATCCAGTCGACTACAAGATCAAGGACGCAGGTATATTCGTGACTCATTACCCTGCCGTTCTGGGAACGGATATTGCTGGGATTGTCGAAGAAGTAGGGGAAGGTGTCGAGAATTTTGGCAAAGGCGATAGAGTGTTAGACAATTCTTTTCCGCTGTCTGTATAGGCTTAACCTTAGTTTACAGATTGGCGCACGGCAAGTTTACTAATGACTTTGCTGCATTTCAGCAGTATACCTTGACCGATGCAAGCTTTACAGCAAAGGTAAGTTATGCGAATGTTCGTTGACCACATCGTCGGGACTCAGCTACATTTCATTTCAGATTCCTGCAAGCAAATCCTTCGATAGCGCGGCTACTGTCCCTCTGGGATTAGATACTGCACTAGTGGGTTTGTACGGAGATCAATTGGGAGCTGGGGTAACACCTCCTTGGACGAAAAGCGCCGACGGTCACGAATCAAAGACACCTATTGTCATCCTCGGGGGTTCTTCCTCTGTGGGGTCATACAGTAAGCGAAGTGAGACTTATTTCTTCGACTGCATCCTGACGGCATTGCAGCTATCCAACTCGCTCGTCTGTCAGGATTTTATCCTATCATCACTACTGCCTCTCCGAGCAATGAAGAGCTTGTCAAGGAATCCGGCGCAACTCATTTCTTTGATCGCAACCTTTCTGGAAAACAACTGCTGGCGGCTATCAGTGAAGTTACGGACGGCCCTGTCAAACTTGTTTATGACGCCATCTCATTGCCAGAAACACAGTCTGTAGCATGGGAATTACTTGCAGATAATGGCACCCTCGTCTTAACCCTCCCTGCGTCAGTCAAGGAAAATGAAGGCAAGGGGCGCAGGGTGATCCAGACCTTCGCAAGCCCACATGCTGCTCAAAATGAGGAGCTGTGCAGCAGCTCCTGGGCTATGGTCGAAAAATGGCTTTCGGACGGTACTATAAAGGTTTGTTCTGCGAGTATTGTTCTGGATTTATGACTCACAAATGATGTAGCCGAACAAGTATGAAGTCCTCCCGAACGGACTGGAAGGTATTATTGGAGGACTGGAAAGGATGAAATTGGGACAGGTGTCTGGCATGAAGTTGGTTGCTCACCCTCAGGACACACAGTAAATTAATTGTGCAATACGTCTTAATTACAAGTGTGTACTGGGCACTGTCGCGAAGAGAGTTCTTGTTGGAAGTTCCAAAGTATAAAGGCAAGGGGCAAAGTGACGTGGACACTCGGCTTGTGGTTGGCAAGAGTTTTAAAAGTTCCAGGTACCAAACCAACACCAAACACATGCATGGAACATCATGAAGTAAGAACAAACCGCACAAAGAAGTTAGCGACTTGCTAGGAAGCTGCCAAAACTCCCTGCACACTCCTTGCAACTCACATCGACCAGTCACAATTTCCGTTGATTCATTCGAACTACTCGCCTTCAGACTCGGAGACCTGAGGATATGACGAAATCGATCTCTCCAAGTTGTCTGCTGAGCTCAGACTAGGAAACGAACCTTCATAGATCTGCAATACAGACTGCATAATATCATGATGAACTTTGAATTTAGGCTGCTGGTGCGTACTATCTTTATTTTATTGGTGTACCATATGTCAACCATACGCTACATGCCCTCTCCGACACTCTACTGTTGGCCAGGGACTGACTGGAGTGGGATTCCAGCGGACTACTCGTCCTCGAAGAGACTGTATAGTGCATAGTGCACCGTGCCTGCACTAGCGAGGCTCCTACCATTTCTGGCGTTGTCGCGTCTCATGCACATCATGATACCAGTGCATATTGCGTTATCGTGCAGAGCTTGTTATTAAGCTGATCTAGATGATCCTTACTAACATTCGCCATTTCAACTGCCCGTCTGCGTGAATATATTCTTGCTCATCAACTTTCATATTATATAGGTAGCAAGATTGGAACGCGTTCAACCCTTTTTACCCTCCACATCACTTTCACATGTCTCCACAACAGAAAGCTCTTGTTCTTCCCCGTAAGCAGGGCGGCTTTGAGCTCAGCTCCCGCAGTATCCCTAATCCTGGGGCCGGGGAGCTCCTGGTCAAGATACAATCTGCAGCTCTGAACCCATTTGACTACAAGATCACGAACACAGATTATACTCATTACCCTGCCGTTCTGGGAATGGATATTGCTGGCATTGTCGAGGAACTAGGGGAAGGTGTCCACAATTTCCGCAGAGGCGATAGAGTGTTAGACAATTCTTTTCCTCGGTTCGCTGTCTGCATAGGCTCAACCTTGATTTGCAGATTGGCGCACGGCAAATTCACTAATGACTTTACTGCATTTCAGCAGTATGCTTTGACCGTTGCGAGCTTTACAGCAAAGGTTAGTTGTGAGAAAGGTTCATCGACCACATTGTCAGTTACATCTCATTCCAGATTCCTGCAAGCGAGTCCTTCGATAGCGCAGCTACTGTTCCTCTGGCATTAGATACTGCTGTTGTGGGCTTGTACGGAGATCAATTCGGAGCTAGGATAACACCTCCTTGGGAGGAAGGCGCCGGCGATCACGAATCAAAGAAACCAATTGTTATCCTTGGCGGTTCTTCCTCTGTGGGTGCATATAGTAAGCGAAGTGAGACTTACTTCTTCAACTGCATCCTGACAGTATTGCAGCTATCCAACTCGCTCGTCTGTCGGGATTTTATCCCATCATCACTACAGCCTCTCCGAGCAACGAAGAGCTTGTCAAGGGCTACGGCGCAACTCATTTCTTTGATCGCAACCTTTCTGGAAAACAACTGCTGGCGGCCATCAACGAAGTTACTGACGACCCTATTAAACTTGTTTATGATGCCATCTCGTTGCCAGAAACACAGGCTGTTGCATGGGAATTGCTTGCAAACAATGGCACTCTCGTATTAACCCTCCCTGCGTCAGTCAAGGAAGATGAAGGCAAGGGGCGCAGGGTCGTTCCGACCTTGTCATACCCACATACCCCCGAAAATGAAGAGTTGTGCAGCAGCTCCTGGGCTATGGTCGAAAAATGGCTTTCAGATGGTACTATAAAGGTTTGTTCTGCGACCACTGTTTTGGATTTATGACTCACAAACGATGTAGCCGAACAAGTATGAAGTACTCCCGAACGGACTTGAAGGTGTTATTGGAGGACTGGAAAGGATGAAATTGGGACAGGTGTCTGGAACGAAGTTAGTCGCTCATCCTCAGGAAACACAGTAAATGCAGGGCCATCAACTTGTTCGACATCATGTGTACGAAATCTGCGTCGGTCTTTGTCCGGCAGTATCTACTAATCAAATACCAGCTGAACACATACATCTGATTTATGTAAGGTCGGAACGTTTGATCGATTCACGTCTAGCCCACGAGCGTGCTCCGAACCTGAGCTCCACATGCATTCCCAATCGCTCAAGCGCTCACTATCCGTGTGCGTTCTTCGCTCATGTCGCTCCTCCTTTTGTAATTGTGCTCAGCTGCTTCCAATACGTGTCTTCTGAGCTTCACAGGCACATTCGCATACGTTTTCTTTCAATCCAACACGTTCAATAAATTGCGAACAGTTTCTCTTGCGACCTGCTTATTCAACGGCTGTCAAGCGCTGACGCGGACGCTTGAGAAAGCCGTGCTTGACCTGTACAGATTCGTTTGCACACGGACAGCTATACCCCGCACTGTTAAGAGTATAATGTTGCTGGGATGTTCGAACGCTATTTCCGAGAGAAGGAGAAAAGACAAGGGCCGAGCAGACGTAATGTCCAAAATGAGCGGGGCGCTTGTATTGTTGTATAAGCAGACCTGCACAGAAATCTCTTTGAAAATACGAGCTGCGCAGCGGCAAGTACTCGTTTTTCATAAAGTCTGTCCGAGTCTGACAATCAAATGTGAACGACGCGCATAAGTAATTCATATATTGCTTTAGGTAGCTGTGGATATCGTGTGCGGTGCAAGCTGTAAATCAGACAGGCAAAAGCTATCTTCGTTACTCCGGTCTGCATCGTGCAGATTGAAAGGAATACGTGAGGACAAATTCATCTGAAAGACATAGCCAGGGCAGTGAGGCGTAATTGAGTGTATGGACCGATAGGAAAAACGGCAGTTAGGATAGTGAAGTTGATCAGAAACGAGGCTTGGGAGCTTCAGTTGCACAGCCTGCTAGACTCGGAGGCTGTAATGCGAACACTCGGACGTGCCAGCTCAAACTTCCAGTGCACTTTGGACCTTGAACCTGCTGAGGAACATATAGTTGTAAGTGATGATTTTAGACTTTGTCAAATGAAAGCTGAAACGGAGCTCCGCCTAGTAGATGTCCTCACCCATCGTTGGAAGGCACGAGGCCTCGAGGATAATGCCTCGCCAGAAATTTGAGGGACACATCGGACCTGTCCACGATGCCATACATCTACGAGGCGGACAACGGATGATGACTTGTTCATGGGACGGCTCGCTGCGGGTATGGAACCTGAAAAGCGGGAAACAGATAGGAGAGTACATGCGGGTGAAGTCAGTTGAACCTTCGCAAGACCCCCTCTCACGCTCAATACCCGCCCACCAGTCGATGTCGAACCCATGTTAATCAGCAGGAGCTCGTTCTTGGCCAGTTTCGAGACCTCTGTTTATTTCTTCTCCTCTGTACGAACACCCAGCAAACGGTGGAGAAGGAACGAGCATATTTCAAGGTCTAGATTCTCTTTAAAACGTAATCACATATCCAAAATGAGGATGCTCACCGATACAGACCTTCGGGAGCTTCCCAATCGCACCCAGCACTCGACCAACGAGACGATCCGCTCTGCACAGCGTAGAATCAATCTTGGTCCAAATACCAGTCAACCTCCCGGAACTGCAAACTGCAAGTGATTGTTCCCGCCGTGCAGAGTCGATCCTGCTGAAAGGGCTTGCACAGTTCCGGCCCTGAGCGTCTTTCGTTTGTTATAATCCTCAGATAAATTTTGACTTATTGCCTTAGCCCACAGGAAGTCTGTGAGGATAGAACACCACCTTTGACTTGAACACCAGGCTTGTTGACGTCGAAGGAACGGTCAACGATGAGACGGGTATCGGAAACAAAGTCGCAGACTGGGATAGGTATACGCTTTACAATGTATTCGTCAACAGCGTCGATGTTGTATTTCGGTTGCGTTCTTATGAGCGACGACTCGACCGGTAACGATCAGAATATCGTGACTGGGACAGTCCATGAGGGAAATATGGCAAATGACTTTCATCCTGTGACCGCATCGTGTGCAGGGAGGATTATCTTCCTTGTCTGGGCAGTACTGCCTGGACGGGGACACACCTATGATAGATAAGCATGAGTACTAGTAAGCTCCCGAGCTATGTCCGACATATGGTTTACGACCGCAAATGTGAAAGACAATGAATTGATTTTTTTTAAATAAAACACAATTCCATGATGGGCTGCCTTGTTAACATCGGGTGCAACTTGAATGACACGGTACAATTGTAAAACAATAGGTGTCCCAATTACAAATGTGTCCTGGACGATGCCGCGAAGAGAGCTCTTGTTGTAAGTTCCAAGGTATGAAGGCAAGCGTGAAGCGGCGTGGATGTTGGCAGTGGGCACGAGTTTCATGTAAAGCTTCCAGGCACCAAATTACATAAATTGACATTCAAAGAAATCGCAAAAAGTTAGCGACTTGCTAGGAAGCCATCAAAACTCCTCGCGACTCATATATATCAGTAAGATCTTGGTATTTTTGTTGTCTCATTCAAACCACCCGCCTTCAGACACCACATAGACCTGAGGATATGACAAAATTTGGACGAAATCGATCTCTCCGAGTTGTTTGCTGGCGGTGAGCTCCGAGACTGGGCAGACGAACTTCATAGATTTGCAATATGGACTGTACAATATATGATGATGAACTTTGAAATTGGGCCGCTTGTGCGTACTATCTTTATTTTATTCAACCGTGTGCTACATGCCTCTTCGACTCCCGGGTCACTGTTGCCCAGTGACTGACTGGAGTGGGATTCCAGCGTACTACTCGTCCTCGAAGAGACCGTAGTATGGTGCATCTATGTCAGCGAGACTCCTACCGTTTCTGGCGTCACATCTCATGCACATTACCTGTGCATATGGCGTTATCGTACAGGGCGCAGTCTCTGGAGCTTGTTATTAAGCGTCATCGTTACCAACATTCACCATTTCAAATGCCCGTCTGCATGAATAATCGTTTTCTTGCTCATCAAGTTTCAATTTATTATATAGATAGCAAGGTTGGAAGGCCTACAAGCATTCTACTCTCCACATCTATTTCCCATGTCTCTGCAACAGAAAGCCCTGTTCTTCCCCAAAAGCAGGGCAACTTTGAGCTTAGCTCCCGCAGCATCCCCAATCCTGGGGTCGGGCAGCTCCTGATCAAGATTCAATCTGCAGCTCTGAACCCAGTTGACTACAAGATCCAGGACACAGAGGTGGTTGCGATCCAATACCCTGCCGTCCTGGGAACGGATATTGCCGGGACTGTCGAGGAACTAGGGGAAGGTGTCGAGAACTTCCGCAAAGGCGATAGAGTGTCAGACAATTCTTTGCCCGTGTCTGCATAGGCTCAACCGTGGTTTATAGAGTGGCGCATGGCAAGTTCACCAATGACTTTACTGCATTTCAGCAGTATACTTTGACCGCTACGAGCTTTACAGCAAATGTAAGTTATGAGAACGTCTGTTGATCACATCGTCAACTACATTTCATTCCAGATTCCCGCAAGCGAGTCCTTCGATAGCGCAGCCACTATTCCTGTGGGTTTAGATACTGCGCTGGTGGGCTTGTATGGAAAACATTATGGTGCCGGTGTAACCCCTCCTTGGACGGAAAATGACAGTGGTCATGAATCAAAGAAACCAATTGTCATCCTCGGTGGTTCTTCCTCTGGGTTCATACGGTAAGCGAATTGAGACTCAATTCTTCTTTAATTGCATCCTGACAGTATTGCAGCTATCCAACTCGCTCGTCTGTCCGGATTCTATCCTATCATCACTACAGCCTCTGCAAGCAATGAAGAGCTTGTCAAGGGCTACGGCGCAACACATTTCTTTGATCGCAGCCTTTCTGGAAAACAATTACTGGCGGCCATCAGCGAAGTTACTGACGACCCTATCAAACTTGTTTATGACGCCATCTCGTTGCCAGAAACACAGTCCGTTGGATGGGAATTGCTTGCAGATAATGGCACGCTCATATTAACGCTTTATGCGAAAGTCAAAGAAGATGAAGGCAAGGGACGCAAGATTGTTCAGGCATTCGGAAACCCACATGCCCCCGAAAATGAGGAGCTGTGCCGCAACTCTTGGGCTAGGCTTGAGAAGTGGTTTTCAGACGGTACCATACAGGTTTGTTCTGCGATCATCGTTTTGGATTTTTGTCTCACATTTATGTAGCCGAGCAAATATGAAGTCCTCCCAAATGGGCTTGAAGGTATTATTGGAGGGCTGGAAAGGTTAAGATTGGGACAGGTGTCTGGAACGAAGTTGGTTGCTCACCCTCAGGAAACACAGTAAATGCAAGGTTGTCAACTTGTTCCGATTTGCCGGGACTTATTTGAAAGTACGAGCAGTGTTCATTCCGCATATTCAGGTCACCATAAATTCGCGTCACACTCTATACATTACCCAATGACTATCTTATTCTCCAGATCTGCGTCAGCAGTATGTCTGTCCATCTGAAGCGAAAGATGCTATTCGAAGAGCAGTTTGGATTGAACTACCCCCTTCTACGATTTATTGTAAGAAGAAGCAGAACGCGCTCTGGCGGCTCCTGCAAGAGATCTTAGTTCGGTCGGGCGATATCATTGTCTTCGACTGGATCAGACAATCTTCCGAGTTCAATATTAATAACTGTCTTCCAGCCCGTATTACCTCTCATACCGTTCCTCCGCGCACCCTTTTATCTTTGTCTGAAGATCATATCCGCACCCAGGTCTCTTCGCTGCGACAAACCGTGCCTGCAGATCTGGCGTTGAAATTTTTGACCAGGTTGAACAGCTGAGAACTCCCCGCTTCGGAAACTTGCAGACTTACATTTCATTTCTTGTCACAGAAGTCAGATGGAGGTGCGATCTAGCCCAGGAGAGTGCCATCGCATATGAAATCAAGGCAGATGGACCTCACGACCTGCTGATCCCGTCAAATTCCATTCAATAAATGTTCTTGTTTGTCCATCCATGTGATCTGTATCTCCTCGAGGTGCCTGACTCTGCAGATGATAAAATTGGACCGAGCCCGGGTTCCAGCTGATTGACGACTCTATAGAAGAGGAACCTCGTTCACCAGCTTTGCAATTGATGGATCACTTTGGACAGCTTTTCGGTCCATTTTTGCTAGCGCAACAGCACGTCAGAGAATACTAGAAGATCGCATCGAACCATGACATCATTGCACAAGTCAAAGACATAATTTCCGTTGTCATATGGACGTCCAGGTCAATACCGTAGAAGTACCGTAGAAATACTATAGGTCCGTGTCATCTCCATTGCACTATTAACCTGCTGCACGAAACGAGCTGGTTGACTCGAATTCTCACTCGTCAACATTTCTTACATTTGATGGTTTGCCTTGGACACCCTTTTGGTGCATTTTTTATTAAGGCGGCAGGGCGACGGACTCAGAGAATTTAAGAGAATCGTATCGAATAATGATATCATTGCACAGATTAAAGATATGGCTTCTATTAGCTACATGATGGACACCACGACACCAGAGATACTGTAGCCTACTGTAGCTTCCAGCCTCCAGGGGAACGTAGGCTTCTTCACTTCACACATTTATCTGCTGACATAATCTTATGAAGAAAACGTCACCGTTCGATGCTACCGCTCTTGTACTTCACAGATCCTTTGTACACCTTTGCACGCTTACCTTGTTTCTATAGGCATCTGGCTTGGACGCTTTGTGATGAACCGAATCTCTGAGGCTGACACTGGCTCTCGTCAAGGGGTAGCGGTGCCTCCTTATATTTCAACATGAACGACGGATAACTGGCGAAAGTCTCCTCAAGAAATTTTTATTCTCCAACACTACCTTTTGTATTTGTACCATTTTGTTGGACAGCAACTATGTCAGAGCCCTTTGCATTGCCACGAAAGTTCAGAACGACAACGACCGACAGCCGTGACCCGTTGGACTTCTGGCATATAAAGAGACAGTTGAGGAGTACAAGGTGGGCATACGTTGATTTGGGTCCTTTCTCTCTCTGATACTACACTTCTTTGAAGGTATATACTCATAACTGAATTACACTACAAGGCTGCTGGGAATGCACACAGTCGCACCCAAACTGGGACGCAGTGGCAGACACCCACGGATCGCACAGATAGTTGGACGTCCATCGCACATCTCGCAGCCTGATCCTGTTGTTCACACTATTTGTTGATTACTTCCATCTCCATCTCGTTTTGAAGCACTTGATACTGATATATGATATCATCCATGATATCCCGTTAACTTACAGTTTGGTTTTTCGTATAGTTTATCATAGTGCGCATTATTTTGCCCATCCAGTAACACATGTACACCTACACCACCGAGTCTCCTACCATTTCAGGTGTCGTACCTCATGCACATTGCATATGGCGTTATTGTGCAGGGGCAGAGCAGCTGGTGCTACAAGAAGTAGATGAGGCTTCTTATTAACACCGCCGCCATCATAAACTTTAATCCATTTCTTTCACCACCCGCTCTAGTATACCCTCCACATCTCTTTGGCATGTCTCCGCAACAGAAAGCTCTTATTCTTCCCGAAAAGCGGGGTGACTTTGAAGTTGGCTCTCGCGAGATCCCCAGTCCCGGGGCTGGGCAGCTTCTGGTTAAGGTTCAATCTGCAGCTCTGAACCCGATTGACTACAAGATCAAGGACACAGGGGCGGTCGTGACCCATTACCCTGCTATTCTTGGCATGGATATTGCTGGTGTCGTAGAGGAACTAGGGGAAGGTGTTCAGAATTTCCGCAAGGGCGATAGAGTGTTAGACAGTTCTTCACTAGGTTTGCACCTGTCTGTATAGGCTCAACGCTCAACGCTAGTTTACAGATTGGCGCATGGCAAGCGTAATAACGACTTCACTGCCTTTCAGCAGTACACCTTGACCGTTGCGAGCTTTACCGCAAAGGTTAGTTATGAGAAGGCTTATTGACCATATCGCCAACTACATCCCATCCCAGATTCCTTCAAACGAATCCTTCGATAGCGCAGCTACTGTTCCTCTAGGATTGGATACTGCGCTAGTAGGCTTGTATGGGAAACATTATGGAGCCGGGATAGCCCCTCCTTGGACGAAAAGCGCTGCCGGTCACGAATCGAAGAAACCGATTGTCATCCTTGGCGGTTCTTCCTCTGTGGGTTCATACGGTAAGCGTAGTAAGATTCGCCTATTCGGCCGCATCATGACAGTATTGCAGCTATTCAACTCGCTCGTCTATCGCAATTTTATCCTATCATCGCTACCGCCTCTCCGAGAAATGAAGAGCTTGTCAGGGACTACGGCGCAACCCATTTTTTTGATCGCAACCTTTCCGGAAAACAATTGCTGGCGGCCATCAGACAAGTCACTGGAGGTCCTATCAGAGTTGTTTATGACGCCATCTCGTTGCCAGAAACACAGTCTGTTGGATGGGAATTACTTGCAAACAATGGCACCCTCGTATTAACCCTTCCTGCATCAGTCGAGGAACATGAAGGCAAGGGGCGTAAAACCATCCAGACTTTCGGAAATCCACACACTCCCCAAAATGAGGAGCTGTGCCGCAACTGCTGGGCTAGGGTCGAAAAGTGGCTTTCAGACGGTACTATACAGGTTTGTTCTGCGACCACTTTTGGATTTATGTCTCATACGTGATGTAGCCGAACTATTATGAAGTCCTCCCAAATGGGCTTGAAGGTATTATTGGAGGGTTGGAAAGAATGAGATTGGGACAGGTGTCTGGAACGAAGTTGGTTGCTCACCCTCAGGAAACACAGTAAATGCACAAGTTGCTGCCAGCTTGTTCGCCAAGGACTCTTTCTTGCATCAGGGGGCACACGATCAAATTGTACACTAGGCGTCGCAATTACAAGTTTATATATGTACAGTGCTAGGTAGGAAATCGGATGTAAAAGAATGCTTGTGATACTACATACATGCCCCAAATATTTCTGGCCCCTACGTCCTGAAGTCACATTCTCACGATCATGCCACTGACGCGGCCTAAGTGAACGCGTCTTTAATAACACTGAGTCTATCTCTTACCAGTATGTCTTCATCCGCATCCTCATCAAAACCCGCAGACAAACAACCAGAGAAGACTAAGGAGGATGACAATCAACCTCACCTGGGGGTCCTTGAAGAAGACGACGAGTTCGAAGAGTTCCAAGTAGCAGGTGATCAATTCAGTTGTCACCTATGTCATCAATGTTTACTGATGATGTTGCCTGGTAGACTGGGATGATTCTAGCACAGATTTGGCGCACTTGAAGGGCGCTGCACCCGGGGTCGCAAAATCAGCGGGGGATAAACTTTGGGAGGATAATTGGGACGATGACGACATCGAGGACGAGTTCAGCGTGCAGCTACGGTATGCAATTCTCCTCTCGTCTTGATGGTACATTTTCCCAACTCACCCATTGGCTAGGAATGAACTCGCTAAGGCAGGGAAAGCGACTGGTGACCCGATGCAGCAATAATGACATCGTATCAGTGGGTTTTGCCAAGTGATTCGTCCAGTTACTGTCGAATATACAATACTTCAGAAATTTCATCATCTGCACTATTAAATTTTCAGTGTGTACTAGGTCTCTCACCGGAACTCTGGCTGCGATTAGTCATATATTCGTTGAACAATCATATCCACATTAATCAAACGAGACAAGGAGAGCAAGGGCCATGCAAGGTAAGCCACCTTCAGAAGAATGGTTTTCCTCACGAAATAGGTACATGTCATCAGTGTAGATCTCCGAAGACTGCATCTTAAGTGATTAAGCAGGTATTTGTACAACTGAGTAAGAAAATATCGTGGTACACAAACATAAACGTGAATTATAATCAGGATCGTCTGCTTGCAGCGCAACTAAACTTTGGTCTCTGAGTCCGTGTCCTTGATCGCTGAACTTATCTCTTGGCCTTCCGCATATGACACGGTTTCAATTTCGGGAAGACCCATAAGTGAGACATCGAAACCGTTAGCTTCGAGGTATTCCCGGAACTACGTTGCGAGGTATGTAAACATTGCGGGCAACGGGAGAGACAATTGCGCACCTTCGCATCCTCTTTCTTCATACCATCGTGGTCCAAGGGTGTCACAAAAAAGTAAACGACGATTGCGCTTAGGATGGCAAGACCGCTGCCGACCCAGAAGGGGCCAGTGTTCCCTTTAGGTGAACTTGAGCCACCAAAATCCGTGACTATGATAGGGAACACTGGACGGACAAACAAAACACTCAGTTCACCCGTCGTACGGCAACTGTATAGCACCTACCCCAAGTTCCAATAAATGCGCCGATTTTTCCAACAGCAGCTGCAAAACCGTAATACTGGCCACGCACAGCAGTAGGTCCGGACTTTGCACCCAATACACCAAGGCAGTTTCCGGGACCTAGGCAAAAAAAGAGTTCAGAAGACGAAGAGTGATTGCGCAACCCCACGCACCAAACTCGCCAAAGCTCAGGAAGATGCCGTACACCACCTGATGAACCACTTAGCATCTGGCAATTGTCTGGCAATTTTCTATGTGAGAAAGATACCTACAGCAAAAGCGCCAATGTGTTGTGACAGTTGAGTATAAAGGCCACTCATGATAAATCCAATGACCGCTTGCGCGAGAAGGCCAGTGATCTAACATGAGATTCAGAAAAGGCACACCGCATCTGCTTAATAATATTCACTATAGTGACCTTCGGACCCAAAAGATCAACGAAGAAGGCGCCCACAACGGTGCCTGCAGAATGTGAGTGAGCTCTGGAAGTTCGTCATCGTCCAATAGACTAACCTGGGATGTAGAACAGACTGCGAAATCATGTAAATAGGAGCATGAATCATGAACGGGTGAAGGCTTACTTGATCACAACAGACCAACCAAAGACAACGGTGAGGGATGAATTGCCGCCGGTAACGCTGCCAAAACAGTTAAGTTCTACTCATATCAAGAAAACAAAAGCAGATGCATACGCATTGGTGACTGTGGATGAATAAAGTCCGAACTACAAAAAAAAATCAGTGATAATTTATTCCGTAAGCGTCTGACAGCATACTGGGTATCTGGAGGTATGTGAGTAACTAGTCAAGAATGCATGGAAGTGGTTGCAGACATACGTGATGAAGTCATAGATGAACCATACTAGCGAGATGCCAAACAGGCCACGCCAGTATCTTTTAATGATTAGTCTGTATGGGATACGGACGTGTTTCATTGAATCGCGCTTGTAGCGATTAGGTTCCTCCATGCGCAGCCGCCAAAAGAAGACAGCAACAGCAGGAACTACACCAAGCCCAAGCGAGAGGCGCCAGACGGCACGAAGGTGGTTGTCCCCGAATCTGGAAAGCAACTGTTAGATATAGATTACAAGATGTGGAAGTGAATGGCGGCACAGACATCCAGTAAAGTACTAATGGTACGAATGCTCCAATAACGAAACCGACATCGATCATAGTGTCTGAGCAGCGTGTTTTAGAATACTGGTGATAAAGGTATTTCACCACATCGGCTCACTCGTTGCGAGCACCAGCCATCGGTGTTGCGAGTTCTTAGCAATGCCCTCTTCCTCCGACTGTTCAGATGCAGCCACGGAGCCGCAAGGGTATTCAGCGCCGACGCCAATTCCAAGAAGGAAGCTGTGTTAGAAATAATGAGTGGCAGAGATGATCTCGCACCGGCACATGTACTTACCGGCATGCAATAAGCATAGCAAGCATGCCATCGAGGCTGTGATTAGCACCAGACGAAGCAGCTGAGAGACCAGAAAATATTGCAACGATCCCAGTTGCGGACATCTGTTTCAAAAGCATGACTTGCGGGTTGCTCGATTGAGGTTGACATCTACTTACCATACCAAATTTGCGCCCAGCTTTGTCGGAGAGATAGCCAAAGGTGAGCATACCCACCACGGTGCCTGATACGATTTAATTGCAGATCAATGAAGGAGACTCAGTTACGCACCTGCGAAGGCGACACTAGAGAGTGTGGTGCTGTAGTTTGTAGTGATGCCGCCGGAACCAGTGCCGTATATGCGTTCCAGAACTGTAATTCACATTAAACCTTTCGTAAATTTGATGGCAAAAATCGCTTACGAGTGTTGACTGCAAGACAGTTGAATTTGAGGTCAAAGAGGGCTCACTAAGTTGAATAATTACCCACCAGCACCAATGACATTGTTGGCATAACCTGCGAACGATTATGAAATTCACGTTAAAGGAGACAGATGTTGTAACTGCTTGCCATCAGAAAACAGAGCCGTTCCACAGCTGTGAGAAAGGATCCAAGCATCGTGATCAATTTGAAGATGAGAAACAAACACAAGATAACGTACGCAAAGATGAGAGAAATACTACTCAGGGCGACTTTCTTCTCAGCCATGGCGTTGAGGGAGGCAGTGATAGAGGACGTCGACAAAGAGCAGGCAAGGAATCTTTTGTATCAACTCCACCTCTTAAAATAGAATCGCGGCTGAGTCTTATAGGTGATCCGGGCCCTGGAGACGCATACAGTCACCAACTTAGAGCATTTTCTCTGCCATTTTCGCTCAATGTTGATTGGTGGCATATCGGCAAACGTGTGCTCGTTGACGCATTCTACTTCGTGCAAGTCACAGCCTAGGTAAGTTTGTGCTCTGCCGTCCGAGGTGTCCGTTACAGGCATTGAATGCAATACATATCAGGATGCTTACTGGGGTTAGAACGTGATTGTGTATCACGATGTTCCTGTGTGCGTGTGTGGCAAACTCCAATCAGCTTGCAGGCCATGTGAGCAGCATTTCCTTTCCTGTCTGATATAATACTTGGCCAAAGCTTGGGACGGGATGTCCCGTGACACGGCGGCTGTGCGACGACCCCCCGCTCGCTGTATGTCGACGAGCGGAGGTTGATGAACGTTGATGGACGGAGAGGAAACTGGCGGGAATGTTAGCGTCGATATTGCATGTAGTATGTACAGTGTGTCAGTGTCACTCCGAAGAAATGGCAACTCTCCCTCAGCCGCAATGATGTGATTAGGGTTTTGATAGGAAACATAGGAACGTAAATCAAGACTTGTAGTTGTAACCAATCATTACTATTGGTTTCCACTAGTTCGTATACTCCCTACATCTCGTGCATCGTTCATCAGTAAATTCACACATTTCTTGGAGGACCTTTTTCAAAAATTAAAACTTATTTTTAACTTATTGACACATTCACCTTTATTCACTTGGCTGTTTGTTTTCACAAGTCAAAAAAGTAAGCATATGACACACAAGTGCCGAAAAGTAGCATAAGATCAAAAAAGTTAGTTCAAATATTCAAAGCAAAAATAAGTACAACAAGTAAAATAAGTAGTTCAACTTGGTATGTAATCCGCAGTGGGTAGCCCATGACCCATGTATTCCTGTACTAGATATGGGTGTAGGTAACTAGCCAGATGCTCAGAAGCGAAGCCTGAGCATCAGCATCCAGCTGAGCGCCATTGAGTCTGACCACCACCTTAGCATCCACTGCAGTCATCCGTCTCTGAAGATAGGGACCTGGTAGCAGAGCAAGAGGATGGCTAGGAAAGCGGATGCAGGCATGCAGTTTTGAACCTGCGAAAGTTCTTGTCAGGGGGCTACCCCTACCCCTACCGCTTGTCCATCTCATTATCGTTTAGGGATACTACTGCTGAGCCTATATATGCAGTGGGAATGGGTGGTCCATGCCACTACTGCAACCAACCACTCTAGGGCTGGCCAGCTGACTATGTAACCAGTGACCCACCACAAGGGCAGTTTATGGCCCACGGGTGGGGAGGAGAGGGTTGGGGCTAGGACGGAAACTTCGTATCTAAGATTCGGTCGACACAGGCCTTTATCCCATGGATCGGTGATCATGAGGCCCCACACCATTGTACTGGACTGGACCCATTTCAGGTACAGCGAGATTCCTTCGTTCCCATGTGAATATGTGATGAAGCTGGACAGTGTATGTCAGTAGTAGCAACACAATAATGAGATTGACAGACTCACAAAGTGCTGAATGTTGGGAACCAACTTGGATCAGTGTGGGTCTTGCTCAAAGGAGGATCAACACACTCATGAAGTGCGAACAGCAGGAAATGACTTGGATCAGCGTGGCTCTTGGTTGAAGGAGGATACACTCATGAAGTGCGAATGGCAGGAAACTGACTTGGATCAGCATGGCTCTTGGTCAAAGGAGGATCAACATACCCACGAAGCGTGAACGGTGGGCAACAACTTGGATCAGTGTGGCTCTTGGTTGAAGGAGAATCAACACACTCACTCACTACAGGCAAGTCTCCCTCCATATCTCCTCAATAAATAAGGACTTATGATGAGAAAGACTTGGAGTAGCTGTAGCCTACAGTACATGCTGTAGACCTATTTTCTGCAGTGAATCTAGATGCCGCAGGCAAACTGATAAATATCATCGCCCTATACAACATGGTCCAAGTCCTCCCCCCCACAATAGCCACACTAGAAGCCTCCAACACCAAGAATCACACCAGACAAGACAACATCTTCTGTTTGGCAGACTTCGCAGAAAAATTCACCTATTGCAATGTGGAACATCACCTTCAACCAGTTATAACTGACCATTTTCTGATAATCAGTACCACATCAGGAAAAAACCCAAAATGCCGTAGCCCGAGCGACAGCTATATAGCGCTTTGTAGGCACAGTAGCACTATGTAGGCGCACCTTACGCTACAGTGACCTATATAGCGCTATATAGTCTTTAGCCAGCTACAAGCGGCTATATGGTTGGGGGGTGCTACAGGTAGCTACAAGAGCTATCACTGCAGCTACAAGCAGCTACAGGTGCAACCGTAGTACGTACGTGACACGTCGTTGCATATCATTACTTTATAACACATGCGCAAAACATTTCGCCATCAATGAACTCGTTAAAATAAAAATCGTTCGCCACCTCGTATGCATTTCCGCTTCTCAACCTCAGATCTACTGATTGTCCCATCCTCGGTATTAAATGGCACGGCCGCACAATTTCGTCAACGTGGATTACAGCAGCGTTGCGGCGAAGTTGGCGGGTTGAGCGCGAGACCTGTCGCATTCGAGAGGAAGGGTCGGGTGGTTTGAAAGGTGTGAACCACTCGACATAAGCGAGGGCTCTGGAATATGCGCCGAACTGGTGAGGTAGAGTGAAAATAGCGCGAACTTGTGCTACTCGTACACCTGCAGCCAGACTGTTAACAAAATTGACCGCTGAGAAACTCAGCAAAAAAATACCCTCAAGAGTATGCAAATGCGAAGAGCGAGGCCTGTCTGCTATCAACTGCCATGTCAAACTGGGCTGGAGTACCAGGCTTCCGGCCTGATGGCAACTTTTCTGGAGTTGCTCTGATGCGCCTTCGCTTTGGCACATCGCTAACTCGTAAATCTGGCGGCATTACAATCACCACTTGACGATAAAGATCGAATCGGTCTTGAAGACCAGGGACTATGGTGTTGTGCGGGAGATTCTTGAGTAAGAATGATTGGAGAGCAGGGAGGAACTCGGTAGCACTGTGTGCTGTTATGATGGTTTGAACGGATTGGTGAGGATGCGCGGGGACTTTTGCAAGGACATGGCTTGCTTGAAGTGGTTCAGCGGCAGGAAGATTTGGTGTTTCCGACTCCGAGTCCGTGTCTGAATCTGCGTCGAAGTCATGTGGGTTTGAGTGAGGCTGTTGTGACAACCAATCCAGGTATGCGCTACGTATAAACACGGCTTCCTGGCGTTGGAGCCACAAAGCCATTTGTTCCTCGTAGTCCCGTTTATTGCTAGCACGGTATGAATCCTTTGCGAAATCAATGTGCAAGCGCTCGGGAAGTTCGGTGTTAAAGCCGTCAGCTGCGCCTAACAATGTGATGGACTGCACATAATGAGAGAGCTGGTGTAATTTCGGTATGTTGAAATGCTCTCGAACAGCGAGCTCCTTGAGGATGTCTTTATTTGCGTGAAATACAGTCAGGGCGGTTTGTAGGGCTTCGAGGGACTCAGTCGTCTGAATGTGCAGCTGGGCATGATACGAGAAGTCGAGAATAGATCGTGCAACCACCAAAACACGACTGCCAGGCATGACATCAAAACATCATCTTAATGACTCAATAAACACTCACCTAGGTACTGCCCCGCTCAATAAGCCAACAAATACTCTCTGCATCTCTTTATGTTCGCACCCTGTCCACTGCTTCACACTCGATATCCCTTTCTTGAAGTGTCGAAGGCCGGGATAATTCGGGATCGCCTTGAAACATGCGTCGATCTCATCCTCTCCGATAATATCGATGCACCACTTCACAAGGTGGTCTTTGAAGACACCTTTGTGAAGTTGATGCAGAAGGTCAGGTGTGAAAGCTAGAAAAATGTCTGCGTGAGGCAGATCAGCCCAGAAAGGCTTGTAAACGGCGCGTAGACCATTGGCCTCAAATTCCAGAGGATGCTGACCAATCTTGCGCTTGTGCAAGATTTCTTTTGTTGACTCTGGATCACGCATTGCCGAGTTAAGTGCATCCCCTCGGTCATTTGTGGCTACAAGGCACTTCGGACATCGGTTCTCTTTGCAACAACTGACCAAACACTGTTCCGGGAAATCGGCGACATACGCTGCAAGAATTGGGTAGATACGACGAACCCACGAGTCCGCACACACCATTTCGACACCGTTGTTTCCAGCACCGATGAGAGGTTGGAGCAGTAGAGCCATGCAATGGTGGAAGAGGCGGTATCCAGCCAAGGAGCGTGCATCGGGGGTGAAACAGTCAAGTTTGCTAGCTGGTAAGTAACCAATGAGAACGGTTGCTCGTGCTGATGCTTGGCGCCTTTTTGCTTTAGCGATGTTTCCAATGGACATGTACACTGGCCATGCCGACTTATCCCCTCGGAACTGCGACAATGACATTTTGTCTGAAGATAGAATGATTGGTGCTATCATTGCACCCTCTGGCAAGGCATTCTGTGTGCGAGGTCAGTCTGTTGCTTTGTCACTCCCTCTCAAATAGTCTTACCTGTTTCTCGCCCCACCAGTCTGCTGTCCACATCTCGTTGATGACTCTATGTTGCCCCGCACGGTCTGCATATGCTTTGGCAGGTGAGTACGCCATATGTTCTTTGAAGGCCGGATTGCCAATGAGCTCTTTCACGCATTCTACAGGGTCCCAGCTCCACAATTCAACGTCTTCTTGCAACATTTCGCCTTTATCATCCTCGCAGTTTCCACGCACAGTCACCTTTATACAAGTCCATCCTGGCCCACGTGGAAGTTTATCCATGCGCTGCAAGAATGAGCGGTTGTTATGAAATGAAAGTTTGCTGCGGTTTTGTGTCTGGTTACTAGGGTATCAATATTGTAGGTTCAAATTTTGATCAACGCTTTCAAACTTACTATGGGCAGTTTCAGGAATTCTTTGGTCCGCGTCTGACCAAGGTTCTTGACGAGCCAGTGGGCCAGATCCCACTCTTCCCTGGTGAGTGATATCTATTTAGTAGATGCTTTGCCAGCGCATTCGAGCACTTACTTGTCCTCAAAAGGCGACCATGGATCCTCACCCTCTTCCTCTTGGTATGTTCTATATTTTGCAAAACTCGTCTCCCCCTCATGCAGTGCCCAGCCAGCATCCGTCCGAGGTTCAAAATATCGGCCGTTATTGGTGAACGACATCCCATCTTCATCTTCGACTTCCTCGACTGTAACATGACGAGTCTTGCTGAGCGCTGGGTTATCGTCCATATCTGGAGACGGGCGCAGGTGAACATGGCCTGGAGCTGCATCTTGATGGGGGAAGTCAACATCTGGTGCGTCGTCTAAGTTCTCTGCCTCTACTTCTTCGATCATTGATTCATACTGTGTTCGACATTCAAGACGCCCTACAATGTGTCTCTTGAGACCCTCGTGTGTAGTTGTTACCTTCCCACAGAATACACAGTGGGGCATGCTGGCTTGTCTGGTGCGATTGACACGAAACTCATGTCAAGTCGTGTTGTACCGGCCCTAAGTATCTTGACGCCACAAAAATGGAAAAAACACGCTAACACTATCCTGTCCAGGCTCAAACCGCATTCCAGAAGGTCGACTCCTTCAATCAGATTATATTCGAAGTTCCATGACCTCCCGCCATTCGACACAAACTGCGACCAAAATTGGACTCGGACTATATTCGAAGTTCCATGACCTCCCGCCATTTGACACAAACTGCGACCAAAATTGGACTCGGACTATATTCGAAGTTCCATGAAATCGGACTATATTCGAAGTTCCATGACCTACCGCCATTCGACTGGCATACACAAACCGCATTCCAGAAGGTCCTTCTTCTTGGACTTGTGGAGACCAAAATTGGACTCGGACTATATTCGAAGTTCCATTGGACTTGCAGGAGACCAAAATCGGACTCGGACTATATTCGAAGTTCCATGACCTACCGCCATTCGACTGGCATACATGTAAGCATCTTCAATCTACCTATGGTACTCGCCTCATTGGTGCCCGGATCTAGTTGTGGCGCAGCGCCTGGTTGTTGCTGCGCCCAGTTTGAGTTTAGACCAGGCTGACCCTCAAGTGAGTCCTCATACCGGCCCTAATTGTGACTAACACAAAAGTCATTTGCAGCGATGTGACCCTTGCAAGTGACTAACTACTGTCACGGATGCAGTTCATAATATGGAGATTGACCCAAACATCATTGAAAATAAAGGTGACCCACACGGTGCGCCCTTATTCCAAATGACACTTGACTAAAACTAACTGACACTAAAACTAACTTGGCTAAAACTAACTGACAACTAAGCTAGGGTAGTAATGCCATGAGCCGCAAGTAAGAGCTCCAAAAGTTGAACCTTGCATGACTCCTCACACCACTTTTTTTCAGCATTCCATCGCACCTTTATCATCTCCCGCACCAAATTTTGGTGAGCAGCAGGACCTTGTATGTGCTCTGAGAGCTGCGCTCTGCATGACTCATCACAAAGCCTAATCTCTGCATCCCAGCGCTCTAGGACAAGTGTTCGCAGGTAGGTCTGCGAGGTTTTGATGGGTCCTGGAGTTTGGCGATATGGCGCCAATGGAAACTGAATATCAAGAGCAGGCTTAACCTCTCTTGGTGTATGAGGTACCTCCCTAGCCCGCCCTGGAGCAACGACCGCGTGAAATGGTTGACTTGGAGGAGGTTTCAATAACAAGATGTTCGGCTTCATGTCGTCTGATTCGTTCGACGACATGAACTGCTGAACTACAACATCGGTGAGTGTGAGGCGAGCATTGGAGAAGGCAGCCACTTACAGTTTATTCATTTTGGCTGTAGTATCGATTTCGCTGTAGTATTGATTGTATGTTTGAAAGGAAAGTCATCCCCGTCCCTCTTATTTATGCCAATATATTGACACCACTTGGTCAGTTGAAAACTTTAACTTCGTGATCAACAAAACTCAAAAATTGTTTGTTGATTTGACGCCACTGTAGGGTTTTTAAAGGCATGCATACCCCTCCTTCTGTCGTCGTTATTTCTACTGACTACCGTCTATTATGCCCGCAAAAGCCCCCTCCAAAAAGGGAGGTAAAACAGCACTTTTGAAGGCCCAGGAGAACCTATGTGCAGAGATGGTGTCGACCACGGGACGCACCGCAAGTGGTCGGCAATGTCGGCCAACCGAAAAAGAAACATATCGAAGTAAGTTAAATCAAGCCCAACATGAATGCTCACGCTCACTTACATGTTTCTGCTCAACAGTTTTAAAAGCTCATCGAGGAGAAGAACACCAAAAGGCCTTAGAAATGAAGATGAAGAAGCGCGACTTAAAGGCACTGCGCACTACATACCGGACACATCCCGAGGTATTCGACAGCGAGCCTGCTGGGCTTCTCAGCGATGCTGACACGGACGAAGACAACATGGTCAGTGTCTTATTGGTCCAGGCGCTCCATGTCACTCACAACTACATAATAGTTTTCGGACCGCAGTGTACCTACAAGACTACCTAATCAACAGGCGCTCACATACAGTATGAGCAAGACCCCTCCAACTGTCTTGGCCCAAAAACCCACAAGTAAGATCCATACAAAGCCACAGAAAGGTACTATGTCTTGTCCTGTGTGTATCTTGAACTAACACACTTTTTCAGCGTCCACAACTGTTGTGTCTTTGCATAACGACAGTGACAGTGAGGGCAGCAGCGACAGCAATGATTCGAACAACTTTGTCGATCACATGGACCAGGACGACACTGAGAACGAGTCTGATTGTGGTGCGGACAACACTCCCGATGATCATGACGAAGTGGCCAAAGCTTCTTCACCACTGGTTGTCAGCACCAAGCACAAACTGGAGGACTCGAAGGTCCTCAATACTGACATGAAGTTCAATAAAGGTCCAGACGGAACACGCCAACGATTAAAGGCCAGTGATTTCGACGATGTCACCAAGGATTTGCTCACCACTGCCACGTCTATCTACCGCTGTCTAGTCGTGACTCGCGCACCTTTTCCAGAGACACTAATCATTGAGACCAAGCTAGCAAAGGATGCCTGGCGTGAGGCGTCTAACATGGCAGAGCTTACCATCCAACTGACCCCTTCTCTCGTCAAAATGGTACGTCTCGTGTCCGCGTCCTTGCCCTACTTGATTTTATTTATGTTGCATATAGATGACGAGGCGCACATCACAAGTGCGCGGGGAGCTTAAAACAAAGATGTGCATACTGACGGCCTCGTTCTTTGGCTTCTGTGCAAGCAGATCTATACCCGCCATCAAGCAAAACCGTGACCTGGCTGAGTCTCTCAAGGAAGGATCGCGTTTTGTTTTTAAGGTGCGTGTTTAAATTCAATTTTACCATCATTAGTCAACGTCTGACTGGCGGAGTAAAAGGACTGGGAAATGAAACGTGGCATATACAAGACCGGATTAATCCAGGAGGCGGTGAATGATATGTGGTTCGCAAACCGAAGCGATGAGGGTATAGTATATGCTAAATACTTTGATCCTTTACCCGTTCAAACCATTGCGCTTATACTCACAGCAGTGAGTGTATTCAGTGATTCTGATGTTCGTACTGCAACTGAGGTCTGACAGATTGAATGCTGCATCGACGAGTGGATGACTGGAGTAAAGGAGGACATCAAATTTTCGTCGGTTGCTTACTCCCCGGTCTACCTTCTCCATCTCAACTCCCTGCGGCGGTTCGACGAGTGGACTGCTGCTTACAAACTGCTCGGTAAAATTGGTGTCAATCTTCTCGACGTCGCTCGGTATTTTTTTATTACTTATGTCATTCATCATCCAAACTGACATTCATAAAAAGGATGCACGCTGGTGTGGATCCATTCATGGCGGCAGTGACTATCGATAGCTTCACAGATGACGTTTTCGATGAAGCTATTCGAGAGCACGAAGACGAGGCTCGAGAAGCACGAGAATTCTGAAGGGGGTGGTGATTGAGGCGGCTGTATCTCGAGGATTGTATACATGCTCACGTGCTATAGCACCTTAATTGATTCGATTTTGTTGATTTCCAGTCAGTGGCCTGGTCTATATTGCGGGAGCTACAGTAGCAGTGTGTAGCTACCTGTAGCTCGGACGAGCAAATACTAACACTATTCCTATAGCACCCTATAGTAATTTGTAGCACATATAGCTTTCTGTAGCACCTGTAGTTGGTTGCTACAATGAGCTACAGGAGTGGCCGTAGCACTACATAGTTCGCTGCGTGGCTATATAGCTCCACATAGTAGACACTTGACAAATCTGGCTACAGGTACTATAATGACTATATAGCACCCTGTAGTCAAAGGTTTTTTTCCTGATGCATAGACCTCCAACCTGATGTGGGTACAACAATTCAGATGGTGTATCTGAACAATGTGTTTGGTCTTGCAGAACCTAGCTGCTATTTGACCCTAAAGGGTTTCTGGACCAGGCTTAAGGCTCAGAGAAGAGGAAATATGATAGAAAGTTGCTGAATACTCAGACTCATAGTGGAACTGGTGAAAAGGTAACTTGATTATGTAAGCTAAGATGCAAACATAACTATAGGTAAAACAGTCTCTGCAAGGCTAGCCAAGAATCATTCCCTACACCGAGCACACAGAAACAACCCCACACCTAAACTACTGAGAAGTCAAATGGGAAACTTTCCGAGAGACACTAACTGATCCACAATGTATATCACCTGGCACACAATCATTTTTCAGAAAGCTGTTGAAGTTGGAGGATTCGGAGATGTCGGATCACACGTGATACAAGTGCGACCGTTTTGACAGAGGCACGAGAACAGAGACGTCGAGTGTCACTCGACGTCCAGATACCAATGTTTCACTTTATCATTCTCCTTGCAATGCTAATATACATATCACACCATTTTTCCCTTATTAACCTTGTAGATATCAAATGAACATCTCAGTCCCAGAATACAGACTGAGATGTGAGTTCTTACACTTAAATGTTCCTTCGTTCATGCGCTGATTTTACGAGTAGTATTGTTGCTATTTACTAGGTACTGTACATGGTAGTGATGGATGGGTCCGGTTTGGTCCAGTTCTCTGGCAAATTCTCAGAACTGAGAACCGAACCTATGGTTCAGTTCTCTCCACAAACAGAACCGTGGACCGGACCATCGGTCCAGTCCAATAACGGTCCAGTTCCAGTTCATCAAGGGTCCGAACCCTGAACTGGACTGTCCAAATAGCCAAAAAAAATTCATTGGCCGAGGCATAGAGTAGAGATGTAGAGTAGTGCAAGATAGTAGCTAGATAACAAAGAGAAAATATAACTACTCGCTACCTTCATCTGCATCATCATGGAGGGCAGCAATCAGCACATCCAAGTGCTGCTCGGCATCACTAGTGGCAGATATGTGACCATTGCGGTACACACTCTTCAACAACTGCAAGCTCTCAAAAACATCTGTTTTGAGAGGGTTCCGTCGCTTGGTTCCTGTCAATCCGCCACTCGAAAAGGCATGTTCCAAGGGTGTAGAATAGCCTTGTATGGGCAAGTAGTCCCTGGCCATGCATGAAAGAGTCGGGTACTACGACTGGTGGTGCTGTACAAATCTTGATTAGTCAACTCATATGCTTGTGATAGCATAAAAACTCACCCCCCACCAACCTACAACATCATCAGTCTGTTTGAGAGGACTTCCAAGATAAGCCATAAGTTCAGCACGAGGGTTCAGCTGGGTGCGTTCTGATGCGAGACATGCTTGCACAGCTGCAAGTACCCAAGAATGGCCATACTGACCATGTAAGTCAGATGTCCCCCGTTTGGGCCAACAGCGCTGTCAGACATCATGAGTTGTGTTTGGTCAATGATAAGTCAGTTTGCCAGCTAATATACCTTTCGAATAGTGCAAACAGGTTATGGAAATGGAGGCGATGGGTCAAGACATATCTTGCAACAAATTACATGCGTCGCCAATTGAAAATCGAACTTAACTTTGTCGAGTGGTTTTAAAACATAGTGTCGTCAAGGAGTACAACTCACAGATGTGTGCCGCTGAGAGTAAAGCCTCAATATCTGTCAAATTAATGTAGATTAGTGTAGATCAATCACTGTATAGAGCGAAATCATATACAAGACGAGCAAAAGAAGTTGAGCTTGTACCGCGGTCGACAATGTGTCAAGCAACTTCAGTCACGTGAACCAGCAAATCGAACATAGATGCGGCCAGGTATATTTATTTCACTTCAAAGGTACAACTAATACTAATATTAGAGTACAACATACTGTTTTCAGATCTCTGCCAGTCTGATGTATCTCTGTGGTTTGAACCTGTTTGAACCTGTTCATCAATTCCTACAGGTCGTCGAACCGGGAACTGGACCGACAGTTTGGTTCCTCTCATTGCCCAAACCTTGGACCGGACTTCGGTCAAGTTCATAACAGTTTGAGTTCGAACCGTGGTTCTGAACTGAACTCAGCCATCACTAGTACACGGAGTCCCAGAATACAGACTGAGATTATTGTTGCTATTTACTAGCTCCTGCCCAATCTGCTCGCCTCGATTTCTGAGAGGTTATGAGCCCTGCTTCAACCATGGATACTATGCTCCCCAGCTTCAACTCCACGCTGTTCAACATCCCAAAAATCACTGATGACAGCTTGAATTGGATAACCTACAAGGGAATAATGTTGACGGCACTTGGCGCTTGAGGCTTGATGTGATATACCAATGGTCATAAGATGAAGCCCATCCCCTTTGCCATTGATCCGTCGACGGGAAAAGTGACGAAGCCAGATGGCACTAAACTGACGGATGCGGAACTAGAGGACCTAGAGGATAAGATAGACAAATACCAGCAAAAGGACTCACTGGTAAAACAACAGATCTTCAGCACTATTTCTGATCAGCTTTTACTTTGGGTCCAGAACCTAGGCAGTGCCGCCGCTATCTGGGATGAAGTGTGCAAGATCCACGAAGGAAAAATGGAATTGGTCCAGATAGACCTCCACCGCAGACTCCAAGAGTTGAGATGCAAGGAAGGAGGCGACATAAAGGCTCATTTCGGAGAGCAACTACACCTCTGAGAGTTGCTTGTGGGGATGGGCGCTAGTATTGAGGATCACGATTTTTACGCGATAACATTGGGCTCGTTGCCCAAGTCCTACCGCCCATTGGTCTCATCAATAAACGCAATGGCTAAAATAGCCAAGAAGGTACTCACCCCTTACGAGTTGATCAGCGTGGTCACCGAGGAATACAAGCACCGTCAGCTCTCAGAATGTCGAACTGGGAAGAAAAGGAGTAACTCAGCTTTTACAGCTAGAACCTCCCAAGGGAGAAGTCACAATACTGGCAACTCCAACCAGCAGAATGCAGGTGTAGTGTGCCTAAACTGTGATAGGAAAGGCCACTACAAGAGCGACTGTTGGAGGAAGGGAGGCGGCAAGGAAGGGCAGGGTCCACGTCAGAAGAAGGTGAGACAGAACAAGACTGCTGCAACAGCAGCAGCAGCCACTGACTCCCAGGATAATCACGCATTCGCGTTAATAGACAGTGTGCCTATGACTGGAGAGAACGACTCACCTGCAAAGAACCACATGGCAATCATTGATTCCGGCGCTACCTCCCACTTCTGCCCAAACAGAGCCGAGTTCATCTCATATGCCTCAATCAAACCCCTCAACATTTGAGCTGCAGACAGCTCGATAATTAGTGCCATAGGTTGCGGTGATGTAAGAATGAACTTACCACTATGATCCAAGTGGACGAGAGTCACTCTCAAGGATGCACTACACGTGCCAAAGATGAGCTATACACTCGTGGCGACGAACCGTATAACAGCTGCCAGATTAGCAGTCCATTTCAAAGGGACCAACTGCAGGATCTTGTCTGTGGGTCCCAAACAGCAAGTAATCGCTGAAATACCTCACATTGACAGCCTATACACCGTTGCGGGTCAGCACGAGCATCACACTGCATTAGCCAAAGGAAAAGTCACCTTGGGGGAACTCCATCATGCGCTAGGACACTATCGCACTCAGCAGTTAAGTCCGCTGTTGAGAAGGGTTTGGTGGAAGGTGTCGAGCTTGACTCTGTCTCGGAACCAGAATTCTGCAAGGCATGTGAGAAGGGAAAGGCTGCGAGGCAGCCATTCCCAAAGGAGTCAAAATGTCGTGCACAGACGTATGGCAAGTTGATTCACACCGACCTCTGGGGACCTGCGCAAACTGTTAGCATAGGTGGAAGCTCATATTACATGAGCTTCACTGATGATTTCTCCCGTGAAATGCACATCCTCTTCCTAAAGCACAAGAGTGAGGCCCTTGGAGCTTTCAAACAGTATGAAGCATGACTTACCAGGCAGCACAACACAAAGATTAAGACTCTGCGTTCCGACTGGGGAGGAGAGTACCTAAGTGCAGAATTCAATGAATACTTAGCAGGTCAGGGTATCAAACAAGAACTCACTGTACACGACTCTCCCCAGCAGGCTGCATAACTACTTACCTTTGAGGGCAACACCAGGACACACCCCATATGACCTGGTGCACAGTCACCATTCCAATTTGGCCCAGGCCCACGAGTTTGGCACAAAGGTGTATGTCCACCTGCAGGACACTGGGAAGCTGGAGGTGAGGGCGGAGGAGGCGATTTTTATAGGTGTGGATGACCAGAGCAAAGGGTACTGAGTCTACTGGCTGGGTAGGTGTTGTATTTCTGTAGAACAGAACATTAGTTTCGTGCCCACAACTATAACTGTGGCTGCAGATGTACCAATTGAGGGGGAGAAGGTGTTGTTGCCAGCGAGTAACGATCAGCACGTCCACACACCTGCACCATCTACCCC